TAATATTGTTTTTACGTGTTAGTGTTATCACGAGGTTATCGAGTGCGAAAACTTAATTCATTCATTTCAATACATTCAATTTGAATGTCAATTTGACGTTAACGACGGAAGCGGCCGCTGCTCACGTATATTTGCACAATATTTACACAATCGTTTTACACAGTGGCGTATTTTCAATTTTTTCTGGGGGGGGTCCACAGTTTATACATAATTAATATAAACTATATATTATATTGTAATAGTTACGTTCTTATGCAGTTTTTGGAGGAAGTTGAACTAAATATATAATGTAATAACTGTATAGTCTTATGTAATATTATATATATGTACTTATATATTGTATTTAGCATTATATATTATAAAGTATTGTTATAAAATAAATTCCAGTTGTCTCGATTTTTGGCCAACTCCATCAACAGTAATTTCAACTTGCCTGTGAATGTTTAACATACCCAATTCTGCAAATATGTAAGAATTGTTGTTAATTTTTTATTTTTTGGAGAGTTTCTGGGGGGGGTCCAGTACCCCTGGACCCCCCCCCGTAAATACGCCACAGGTTTTACATATAAAATGTATTTACAAAGGGATTTTCCGAGAAGGGCAAATCGAATACTATCGAATCGTGGTGTAAATTCCACGCGTTTTTAGAAGGAGTACCGAACAAAGCGCAATGGATTCTTAAAATAATAATAAATAAGAAACTGTTAAGTCGGACGACCAAGGCTGCTCGCGCCTTTTCCGAACATTGTTATCGGTTACTGTCGAAGCGCGAAGATCCGACGAAAAAAAGTCACGATCGACTTGTATTGTTAATCGTTGATACCGATCTAACCGGACCTTTTGGCCCGTCAATATCCTCTCCGTGTCGATCGCAGTTCTGACGTGACATACGCGACGGTTCATCGAATATTTAGCGGTCGCTAACCGATCGACCCCGTCTGGGTGGACCGCTGCCGCGAAGAAGCGAACGGAACCGAGCACGAATCGTGTTAAAAATAAAAAAATAAAATAAAATATAATAAAAAAATAATAAATAAAATAAAACAAGTAAAATTATTATAAAATACGATTTTTTTTTTTTTTTTTAAACGTATTAATTTTATTTTTGAATATTTTAAAATGGAAATTTCGCGATAACCCGCACACTTAAAAGAGCGCACTAATCGAATTTATGTGCACCAACATTGCGTATCTTGATCTGTGGATAAGTGTATATTTTTTTTTTAATTTTTTTACTCTTTGTGGCTCAATTATGCCCGTCTGACTAATTTGTTTAAGACCCGCGAAGGAATTAAGGAATTAGGAATTAATCCGGCACTATTTACGTGTCGTTTCGCGAGCTAGACTTTACACCGCAGTATAAACGATTGTAGTTCTATTTCTCGGATTGGACCGGTCATTTAGACGCGTGCACTGTTTCGCAACCGGCAACCGCCTAGAACACATCTGTTTTAAGCTTATTGATTTTAAACTATACGCGACCCGCACACCTAGTGAATCGACGTTATTGGTTCATCGATAAAAAACAAACACGAAACACTAATAATCCTTGATCACCGTTACAAAACAAAAACGTATTAATTCGTTGTAGATTAAATAATTATATCCTAGTTTATTTTTTATTTTTTTTTTTTTTACGGCACGTTATGTACATGGATTATGATGTGCTATCGTAATATTATTTCGTATGTGAACATTTTTATATTATATCGTACTTTTAAGAACACATCTGATATAAAATATTTTATTCATATTTTATAGCAAAGAATAAAATGGCACATAAAATTTCAGATTAGTAAATATTGTTATTTTTTATTGCTCACACAACGTTTAATGAAGCCGGTACGCAAATATAAACATTTTGATACTTAAATCAGACACTTTATGTAACTCGATTCCGGCTTTGAAAGCGAAGGCAACCGTGCAGTGTACATTTTTCACGCGAACCGGTGACATTCATTTGGCTGCGAAAATGTTTTGCTGCGATGAAACTAGATATGCATTAAAACGTAATATTTACGTACAATAATTTATTCAAATTTTTTTGAAAGGAAAATAAAACATAATATATTTGATGTTATATCTAATTGTTTTCTTATTTTTTTTTTTTTTTTATATCGAAACAAATTAATACGATAAGGAGTATTCAATACTCTACATTCTTGGACTTTGGACGGAATATATTTTCGCCTATATGTCAAGATAATAATATTACATTCAATCACACAAAATAAGATGTAATGCAACCGGAATTCGTTTCAATTACGTAACTTGTAAAATGTGTATGTCTTATTTTCGTTTCGTGTCAAACGGCCATGGTTGAGCAGCAGCTATTCAATAAATTTGAAACCGTATTACTATAAATCAAAAATGTTCGTAATTCTCGAAAACGTTTTTCTCGGAAATGGAGCGTTGATCTACCACGAAACATTGCGTTTGAATTGGTTTTAGAATCGCAGAGTTCGAACGTTACAAATCTTCGAATATACATTTTCTCGTTCGTTAAAACGAAACAATTATGTACTCCGAGCCGGTTTGGTAACGAATCGAGACGATCGAAGTCGACGAACGATGGTCGAATCGTGTTGCTGTTCCTTTTTTAGTATCAATCTAAAATGTTTAAATCCATCCAACGGATGACGGATAGAAGGGAGGACCAAACACGACATCCATCTACTTCTCGGGTTACGTACGCCTGCGTTGCGAATATATTAATTCATTATCATTGATGAATGCCGATTATTAAATATACCGTGTTTGCGTAGGATTTTAAACGACCCGAGACACGAAGTGCGTACCGCAGTCTGTTTGGTTATATTAATCACGACGAAATGATTCACCTGTGATTCGAACGTTTAATATTATTCCAGAACATAATAATTACCATTACTACGGGGTACAGGATTTCTGTGAATCATTAACGTACGCAATCCACAAGCGCGCGAGCGAATCGTAAACAAAGAAAAATTAGTGCATCTTAGCGTCTGACAAACAAACGTTTTCACTCATCCCAACGACCACGAGTCACATAATATTTGTTCGATAAGTGTTTTATACATTTTCCCGTGTTCGATCACGTTTCCCAATATTTTTGCGTTTCAAATTAAATCTTCTTGTTCGGTATTCGTCAATTGCACCGAATTTGGGACACTACCTGTATAGTATACAACTATTGCGGCGGTATAAAAAAGGTATATTAAAAAGGTATACATCTATTGCGCCGGTTTAACAACTATACAGTACAAGTAATGGCTAAAAACAAAAATTAAAATTAAAATCAAACTTCTCATTTTACATACTGGGTATTAACACTGGTAGTATATTACATATATATATATATATATAGGATATATATATATATATATATCCTATAAATTTTGAAAAGTACATAGGTTTAATTTTAAAATTAGTTATTTCTATTTTAATATTTTTTTTTTTTTGTCATAAATTTAGAGTTTTGTCTATTTATGATTACTAAGAGAACACTTATTATGATTTTTCCGTTACATTATTTTTAAAATTTCATAAAAAACAAAAATATTTGTATGGGGTGAATAAAAATATTTCCCAAACGCTGAGTAAAATGCCTCACAAGCATTTGTTGTTTTTTCTTCTGATATGTTACACGATGACCAAAGGTTAGGGAGAAAAGTTGCATTTTCATCAATATATGTATCAATGAGGTAATCGCAAAATGTATTAACTCGAATATCGATCGGCGCAATAGATGTATACCTTTTTTCCAACTCATAATTTTTCTTTTTTTACCTGCGATTTTCGGCGCAATTGATATCAAGCCTTCTTGTTTATATATGCGAATATGCACGCGTGTGTGCAGTTGCCCGCAAAGTGATGACGTTCGATTGAAAAAATGATATTACACTACGCATCGCATATTGTATTATAACAGACATTATGGTAATAACGCTGCTTAAATTCCTTATCATTGATGCTTATGATATAGCAATGCCATATATTACAGTGAATACCGAGTGGTGTAGACGTTTGAAACCTGAGAACGAATCAATGAACTTGTAATGATGTGCGACCGAAATTTTTCCGCGTTATCTCGTCCGGTTTCCTAAAGCAATAAAACGTGCTATTTTTAACCCCTCCCTCGTTACATTTTTAATCGATGTACACGTAGTATATTATACAAATATGTTCGCGCGCGAGAACAATAAATCGATAGACCGATATTCCATCAACCTTATCGATAACTTTTCGATCGACCTCCGCTGCAGGCATCGCACTAAACATACGCTCATCTCGCACAATAATGTATAATATCTCGTCTACGAATGTATTATACTCATTCGACCGAATATCAACACGTAATTTCCGAAACAATGCTTTTCGGGATTCGGATTCAGTGCTATGTTATGTACTTTTTCATCGTCCTGAATTTTTCATCTTTTGCGTGTCATCGTTATTGCGAAAAACTATTGAAAACCATTAACGAACCGTATGATTTAAACAAACCCAACGACTGAATGCGAGTTAAAAACAGGAACCATTTATGGATTAAGAATAAAACACGAGAACTTTACTCTTGAAACTCCTTGAAAAAACGGTGTTTTCGTGTCATACGGTTTCGAATGGAATACGTCAACATGTACAGTGTATTCGAATGACAATTGTTGTATACAATTCAGGAGCACGTTTTATCAAACAAAACCATGAAAAAATAAAATGCATAACGTTTTTCCCGTGTTTGTACGCACATGTGTATTACGTGTATTGCAATGAATCGCGTTTATGGGATGAAAAAAAATTATGTCTTACACCGTGGCGGGTACCTAGTCTCATCTTGTCCCTATAAATTTTTGTACGTGAATTATAAACCTTGCAGCTATTTGTCATGGTTCCAATCGACGACATCTAAAATGGTCGTTTAAGATGCGGTAACTTTTCTGTTGAGCATCTTATCGATCGGAATCGTCTGCGCTGACATTGTATAATTTATGAAATTTTTCAATGTTGTGTTTTTATTTTCACAGGTGTCAACATTCTAGAAGCTACAGAAATCACCGATCAAACCATAGGCGTTAGCATCACACGCGGTCGATGTGTCGACGACAAGGCGTACAAACTCAACGAACGAGCCATTTTAACCGTGAACACGTCACAGATTTTTCCAACACTCGAACATTTCCCTTCGGATTTCTCAATTATGACCATAATCAGAATCGACCCAGGTTTGAAAACGATACATAACATAATAGCTTACTACACAACTTCAAAAGCGATCAAAGAGTTGGTTGTTTTCACGTAGCCGTGCTATACGAATTATAATCTTATATCGAGATACGTTTATACTTAGTAACGTTTAAAGCCATAGCAATGTGCTCATCGACGTTTGACTTATAAAATATTAATTGATTTCATATTGTCTATGGGATTACATGTACTGATTTCATCGATTTCACCGGAAAATAATATATAAGTTAATAAATAACACAAATTATTTCATATACTTATGCTTATCAAATAGTGAAATAATAATAAATAATGATACATAAAATAAATACTACTGAAATATTTTACGAGAATATTAAACTCATTACAATCTTAAATAATAAATTGCGTTAAACTAAAATAATTTGAATTATATACTTCAAAACTAACTATAATAACGAATTAAATGTATATAACATTTTGGATTCGTCTTAATATTTTTTCATTGTTGATTTTATTATATGTTGATTCGCCTGACATACTAAAATCGAGCTTTGTAATATTTATTTCTAGCAGAATTATGTATACAAATATATATATATATATCAAAACTCTAAGTTGAAATAAATTAAAACCAATATTACAAGTGGGTTCTGATAAAACCAAGCTAAAGTATTTTTAATAAAGATTCTGTAAAAGTATATTATTTTTAGAACAGTCCTTGATGACAGATAGTTAATGAAACAATGTTATGTTTTAAAAAAGTTTAAAAAAAAACCAGTGATAAAACTGAAATACATGCTTTGTTGAACAACCAGGTTCTGAGTCAGTATCGAAATTCCTCATGATTACTGTTGTCAAGTTGAATATAAAAACATGTCAACTGTATAAAAATAAATAGAAAACGCATTGATTCACTAAATTCGAAAGATTTACAATGTATAAACGGTTTGTTGTATTCTTTTTTGATAGGGATTGAAAATCAGCCTTCCTCACAACCATATGCATATCATTTTACGTTATTCCAATTTGATTCGTTATGATGAGTCAGACGATTAGCATATAGTAAATTTCGTAACCGTAGTGTGATTTATATAGAAACGATTGTATAAAATATTTTCATACAATTATTTTCTGTTTATAAGTAATAAAATAAAATATTGTTTCTGGTGCTTTTTCACGCACGAAAACGTCAAGACGAGCGAGAACGTGGCACGTTTTGGGCACCTGATGTTGTCAGCATAGCACCATGGCTAACAGGTTGCAATGATAAATTAACACTGTTGTATTTAATTATAACAGTTTTCCCGCGCGAAAACGGTTTTTCATTTCCAGATGACAATTCTGTCACTGCAGTAGCATTCCTTAACTAGCAATGCGTTATTAGCTGAACAAGTTATACTCGGAATATCAATCGTTTCGATAACAATCTCGAGCAGAAAAAAAGACAAATATTATAATAATTAATATAACGCAAATATCGAGATTTTCTAGACTAAAAAATTGCTTTAGAATTCCACGATATGGTACCTTTTGTTGACGGTCTATATTTATTAATAATCAAATAATATATTTTAGCTTTTGAAATAAAATATAATATCTACATTTTGTTAATGTTAGTAATATTAACAAGACTATAAGTAAATTAAGCTTTTAAAAATAATTTCAAGAACAATTAGACTATTAACTTTTTATTAATAAATTATGATTAACCTTAAACCTTAAAGGCTTTTAAAATTAAAAAAAAAACTATGAATTTGAAATATTCATGCGGTCGTAGAATTGATTTTTATGTGCTCTAGATCAAACATCCCAACATGATAATAATATATTCTTATTTAAATTGTTGCATAGTTTGTTGCGTAATTGTTATGATTAATCGTATGACTTCATAAAAATATGAAGGACAAAATATTTAGAGACTTTTCAAATACATTTTGAATATATTACGTTATAGTTTGTGATATTTAAACAGGTTCAAATGTGAACACAGTTTTCCAAGTGTACAGCGAATCTGGAAATGAACAGTTAGGTTTGACAGTCGCAAACGAAATCGTACTGTCTTATAATGACGTAGAAGTCCAAGAGGAACACAAGAGCAATATAAAATTCAATACTAACATCAATGATGGTCGGTGAGTGAATTTTCACCTAAATTGTAATTAATATATTGTTTTTTTCATATTATAACACAGTGTAATAACTCAATTTTAGTTGAATAATTTTTGTGCTTAACTGTGTATTATTGTATTTCAACTATATTATTATGAATATTTAAAATAGAAGACAATGGATATGATCAAATTTAACATTGCATCTTAAAGCCAAACCTTTATTATTTCATAAATTATATAAAAAGTGATATCTAGGGTTTTCACATATTTCAAGAAAATCTAAAAAATTATAAAATTCTACGATTAACTGAAATAATTTTCATTAAGTCTTGTGACAATATTTCGAAAATATGAAGTAATATGTAAATATTTCATGATCAACAGCTCTATAACATTTATCATTAATAATTTTTGTAAATATTATAATTAACATTATAAATAGTTGTTCTAGAATTATTAACACTTAATTATTATTTGCACAAATTTCTTTGAATTTTGTAAATATTGACAAAAGTATATATGTTTATTCACTATTTACTTAGGTATAAATTAATAAAACATAAATTTACGGAAACAAAGTTTTAATATCGACCAAGCTTTATATTTTAATTTTTGAATAATTTCAGAGTATTTAAAATAAAAATTACACTGAGTATCTTATAGACATTTCCTAGAAAAGAAAACTTATACACATTAATGTGTATTGCAAAAAAGTTAACAATTGATTTATTGATATTATACTTTTCTCTATCGGCAGTAAAACTTTCAATTGAATCTTAACCACCGACAACATGACGATATAACAATTATTTTAGTTTTTTTTTACCAAAAATACACTAAAAATGACATAACATTATGTGTCAGTTACCAAGAATTTGCTAACTCAGGGCACATATTCTGATGCGTATATATATACATATGATCATACGTAATTAGGAAAAGATCATTTATAACGGAGGTAGGAAATACGCATTTCGACGATTAGGATAAGTAGGTAAGATTAAATTAAAAGTTCACGATCGTTGGTTAGACCGATTAAAATAAGCGAGTATGAGCGAGCCGTGAAAATATATAAACAGAACATAGCTAAAAAGGTACACGAGAAATATCTAACCATACCATCGCAAACTTATTCGAATTATCTACCTACAGTAATGCACAAAACGTTGACAATGCGAAACATTAGCGTGATGGAACCAGTGTTTTACACTACCACTTTAAAAATTAGCAAATGTTTGGGAATGCTCTGCGTTAATGTTTCGATAATAATATAACAAGTCATGAATATACAGAAAGTATATAGGTACAGTATAAGAAATCTTAGCTTATAAATCTAACACTAAAAACGATATAACTTTTGAAACAATCATTTGAAAGAGCTCTCGTAGAAATGTGGAGAAATTTAATGATTTGTTAAAGTCGTTTGATGGAATACCGATATAATATGTGTAATAATATTGTATTATAGATTTAATAACTAATTTGGTGAAACGTCCTAAATAAAAAAAAAAAAAAAAAAAACTGTGAAAGAATAATATTAATATTATTCGGAATAAAAATATACTTTATTCTTATAATAATCAATAAACATTATTATAGTATCAATATATATATATATGTAACTGAACAGCAAACCTAAAAAACTATATGTGTCATTAATAAATATTATAAAATGAATATGTCAAGTAAACAAATTCTACAATACTCATTGGTTTTTTTTCTTCAAACCTTTTCAATCTGTACACCAATATGAATGCAAAAGACTGATCGCACATTATAGTTTTATACTTATTGATGAACGATGTTTGTTTTGTTTTCATCAACGTACTAATATTAGTGGCTATAATGGTGTACAGGTTATGAGATTAATCGAAAATATCATCCAACGTAACACAATAAAAGCTGAGAAATTTAATAATTCTTGATAAATTTCAGGTAGAAAAGAGGATAGATTCGCTCAGAGAGGAAAGAAGGTTTAGGTTTGAGGATCTCCAAAATCTTTTTATTATTATGTACCATGCAATATACCTCGTAATGTACTTCATATGTTATATTGTTTTATGTATTTATTTCGGAAAAATGTATTTTATATTATAACATCATAAAAAATATGGTCAATGACAGATGATGAGCTATTGAATGAATAAAAAAAATCATCCGTTTGATAATGCACAGTGAATAAGATGAGGCGATGGTTGCTTAATTTTTTTTCTTCGGTAACTCTAAGTTGATGAAAGTCTGAATTATTTAATCAGCTCACTCTTTAGAAAATTATTCAAAAAGCGTTGTATTGTCTAGTTAAAAAAAAGTTTTTATTTTGATGATATAACTCAATTTATGTACAAGAGGGATCTTATATTTTTTTTCTTATTTACAAATAATATTAATACAATTTGCACGTCTCAGTATAATTTAGATACACATGGATATTTAACATAACTATCATATTATAATTTATATAATAGAACTATTTGTATACATGTACAGTATTTAATGATTTTAATTTTATCTATTCAATTCGTGTTTAACCATATTATTTGATTCTTGTTTGATCGAATTAAGCAAATACTAATAAATCATACTAAAATTGTTATTAAAAAAACCAAACACATAAAATTTAATGTTCATGATCTATAAACAAAACGTTAAATTAAGATTTTATAGTAAAAATTTGAACAAATATATTTTCAATTTTGAATTCCTATCATATGTATTTGTATATTATACCACTTTTATATCCAACCTGCGTACTATGCAACGTCAAAATTATGAGTTTTATGAATCAAACTACAATTTTTTACATTAAAAACAAATAACTAGAGAACGACAAGTACAGAAAAACTGATTTATAACCCAACCAGTTACTGATATTATATTATTATTTATAATAGCATATATCCAGTGGATTAGAATAAAATGTAATTAAATACTTTTTAAGAAAAAAAATAATAATAATAAACCAAAAATTAAATTAATCACAGTTAAGATTCATAAATTTTCGAAATTAATGTAATGGTTTATGTTGAATAAGGGTTTTGAACGCTGAGTTCCCTCAATATTTCTGTTTACACCCACGAGTATACTATAACGTTTAATATATTACAATGTTATCAAATCGTTTTATTTTTAATTTAAGGTGGCATAAACTATTGTTCAGCATCAAAGGCAACTCCGTTACAATGATTGTTGACTGCAACGAACAAGAAACACAAGAGCTCAACAGAAACACGCCAATCAGCGAATCAGGATTTGTAATGATTGGCCAGCAACTAGACGAAACGTTTTATGTGGTAATTTTGCATTTACCTGAAACCAGTGTTATTACTAGTGTGGACGCTTTCGTTTTTCGAAAACATTTAACATCCACGTTATTGTTGCTATTATTTGTTGCTTTTACTTTGTCGATTAATAACTGCCGGAGGAAGCAGAATATTTTAACAATGTAACGGTTCAAAAAAATCTTCAATTATGCGTTCATAATACATTTTCAATTATTATACTATTATATAGTTCATGATCCACGATGTTAAACGACTTTTGTTTTAATAACCAAACTGCTTTTCAACGTTAAATTTTAAATCGTAAATCATGAAATCACTTATATATTATCCTTGGGTGGTAGATTTAAATTAAGATTCAAAAATAGCTATAACTTTATTTAATTATTAAAAATGATTCAAAGATTCAAAAATAGCTATAACATTATTTAATTAAAAATTATTAAAAAAAAAAAAAAAAAAATGGGAAAATATATAAACGAACATAGTGTTTACGATAGAAAATTTAATTATTATTGCGCTAAAATATTACTGTATGGATAACAAATTAAACGTAAAAATTATGTCTTACTTAAATTATCACGTGAATCTCATTAGTCTTCAATAAAAAAACCCATGAGATCAAGTACAAGGTTATGATGGCAAAACAGGGTTCGGTAAAAAAACATTAGTTTTGATGATTTCAACATGATATGTTTCTAGACAATCTGATAAAACAAACAAAAAAACCTGTTATCCATTTTTAACTATTTATAACCGTTTTTATAATAAAATTCATAAAAAAGAAATTTGTTGGAAAATTAATTTTTCATTAAGTTTTAAATAATTGTCAAATGATAATTGATTACAGCATTCTTAGATTATTCTCAACTAAACAGTATAGAGTTCCGACAATTTCGAATATTCTTTATAGTTTGTACGAGATAAAATAAGTAAACTTCAATATTAAATTTTAATTGTACAAAGATGAAACTTGTTTACAATATTGTAATTTATTGAGAAATTTGTAACTCAATAATGGAATTGATTAACAATTATGTTTTGATTAATGTTGGATTATAAATGTTCAATAAATAAATAAATATTAAAAATAATTCTCCGTTATGTATAAATATCTTGAAAAAAAAAATCTTAACTTAACTCCTTACTCATTATATATGTATTATTGGTTTTCTGTAAGGTAGTTGCGTGTTCACTCAGTTGTCAACCTATCGATTGATTACTAGCTACAGAACGGTAACTTTTAATGGAATATTCTCAATAAATCGTATGCGTAATATGCCATTTTAAAAATTACCAAGATGATTCTTTTATTTTTCGTTTGACAATATTAATTTGCCTTTAGTCAAAAGTAGAATGCATAAAAATTGTTTTGATTTTGCCCTGTCAAATTTGGGTCTAGATTATTTTATGCTCTTATGTATACATATTTCCAACCACGAGTCGTCCAGTCAGATACTTTTGATACGCTTGACCTAACCTAAGGTTACTCTTTATTGAAACGTAAAATTATCTCGTAAATAACTTGATAACTTTGGAAAAATTCCCGATAACTGTTTTGATCGGGGAAAGATTGTATGATCCGAAAACGTTGAGATTCTCAAACAGGCAATAGAAAGACGAAAAACGATGAATAAACGGAAAGTTTCACGTTATTGCAGGGCGAAATTCAAGATCTAAAGTTCTACTCGACGCCTGATGCTGCTTACGAAATGTGCACCGGCCGGACGGAAAACTGTATCGAGACGGAGTATAATGGTAAAAACGATACGTCGACGAGCGCTATGGGTGCAACCGCCCCGACGAACGGATACGAAATCGAAGAGCCCACGCCGGACGCAGACCCGTTGGATATCTCTACTAGGACCGTGGTATGTATAACGTTTATTCGTAATATTACAACAGAACACCGACCGTGACAAAGCCATACCTTTGATCAGTGTTCGCATTGGAATATTAAAAAGGATTTAACTTAGAAAATGAGAAGTGTGTTTGATACTCATATTTAATTTTTTTTTTGTTAATATTTTGTAGACGTATTTATTCATATGTTTTTCTCGCTTTAAAAACACAGACAATAATTTCAAAATCTGGCATACTTTAACCAATAACAGTAGCTGATAATATGGTTACGGTTTTGTATAAATGTAGGGAAAAAATGATTTTTAAACATTATGAATGGTGCTATGATGAGTAGAGTTACATGTGTGGTCTCTTTTGTGTGATTTAGTATTCACTTGTATTGCTTTGAAACTACAACTAATATATTTATAACAATATGTAATAAATAATATGCAATAATTTATACTCTGCTTATATTTGATTTTCAGACGTACAGCTCTGCCAGGGAATCAATGGACACGAATATTAGTCAGCCTGCCTTTGGAGTCCTAACCACTTGTACACCAGGGATCCGTGGATACCCCGGTCCACCAGGAGAACAAGGGGTAAACGAATTCCTTATAATTCCATTTTTTTTTTTCGTTTTTTTTCTTATCTATTGTAGTTCTACAACACAATCTATCGATTTATACGACGAAGGGTTGAAAATAAACGGCGTCGTTCACAAAAAAGTGAAAAACCTAGAAAATTTTTTGAACAAAAATGATCACAGAGAATTATGATCTGCTAGAAAAACATTCTACAATGGTTCATAAGATCGCACGAGAATAATATAGTTTCTCGATTAGACAGAGTAAACGAGCGTGGCATACGTGAAAAATCTGTCTTTCGCTCCGATCGATCGTCGTTTCACCTTTCAATCGCGTTGGCAAATTAAACCACTGTACACACTCGCTATTAATGCACTGTTTACTTTTTGTTCATATAAAAATACCAAAGAAAGTTCACTTGGAATTTGTCTCATCACAATGAAACGTTTATAATTTGACAGTTTAACCGGTCCATCTTTCCCAATATAAGTATTCTGATTTTCGTTTTCCCGTCATGTTGCGTGCGAAAGATCATCATAATTTCGTTTGATACTATGATTTTTATTTATTTATTTATTATTATTATTGCTATTATTATTGTTATTACTACTGTTATTATATTGTCTACAGCCTCAAGGTCCAAAAGGGGATGCGGGCCGCGATGGCATTGACGGACTTACCGGGATACAAGGACCTCCGGGACACGTGTTTCTAATACCAGTTCGTATCGTTATTTCGTTTTAATCGCTGCGGAATACAACGCAAACACGCATAAAAATAATACCGTTTTCATTACAGCTAAATCAAAACCAAGGGGATAAAGGTCCGGATAGCCAAGCGGAAATGTTCAGACAAATGTTGGCACAGCATATGGTCCGTATACTATAATATTTATATAACAAAAGTATCTACGCGCACCTTGCCGCGTTGCATATTTGGTTTTAAGTATAGAAACGGTTGGTACACCGCGCACGTTTTACTTTTTATTACTTTCAGATGTCGATGAGAGGAAGCGATGGACCAATGGGCATGACCGGAGTTGTCGGGCCAGAAGGTTTGTCTTATATATAAAACATTGTTTTTTTTAAGGATTTTAACGGATGCATACGCACGTCGAGAGATTAATTTTTAAATAATTTAAGGTCCACCCGGTGTCGAGGGACCGAAAGGCGAGTCCGGCGAACAGGGCGAGGTGGTAAGTATTATAAGTATAATAAATATTGGCAAACTTTTAAAAAGACATTTCTGGCGTAGTTCTAATAAATATTACGTCACATCATTTTATCGTGTGTTCTAGGGGCCAAGAGGACTTAGAGGGATGTCCGGTCCACCGGGTAAGTACACTTTGGATATTGTTTTTAATATTTTTTTTTAGTACGTTTTTTGATATTAACTATACGGTTTGAGTACTCCGTCTTAACAGTAGATTGATAAATTAATAATACCGCGACAGCGCAAAACGATGTTATGATACTTGTACGGATATAAGCCACGGAAACTATTAATTCATTAACGATCATTTCGTAAGACATTTAAAATCTTCACTTCGATCTTGTTTAATTGGTAATACTGTACTATAATTATACTGTCAGTATTTCAAAAGCCATTTATCCATATAAAAGCCCGTCTACGAGGACGAATTCACGCTTCAGATGCATTTTTTGTTTTCGTTTTTCAAATGTATTCATGTAATCAAACATAATGATATTTTCAAGAAGGTACCTAAGATATAATGCAGAACATTGTACGCGGTGCTTTGCAAAATTATACGATTAAATGCTTAATTACATTGTTCGTTTTTGTCGGACGGTTTTAATTTAAATCTTTTTAAATCAACAATACAGCATACCTTTTTACACTTTAATAAAAATATGACATAATTATACATTACAATTACACTTATTACGACTGTGCAGGTCGTGACGGACACAGAGGTAGACCGGGCAGAGACGGTGAACGAGGGGTAACCGGTCCACCTGGAGTTAAAGGAGAGCCAGGATTAACAGGAATAATGGGTAATATAATTTTACGAATATTATAATATCTTGACAATAAACAATTATTTTTCGTCAAAAATACATTTCACACTTGAAACCTGTTACGGCAATAGTTGTACAAACACAAATATTTGTCGAAATCTCAACGTAAACAATTCAGTAGCCTTTTCTAAAGTTACTGTATTTTAGGGAACTGAAAATTTTAGTTTACGCGCCACTAAACATAGATATATGATTAATATTAGATTATGTGAATACATACAGGGCTGCTTAATTCATATTCAAGACATTCATTATTTTTAATTTTTCGCTTTGGTAAATCTAAAAAAATGTTGAAAGTTTTCGTTTTCACATGCAACAGTTTTTAAATAATAATTTCTTTAGAACATTACGAAAGTATAGAGTTTCAGTATAGAGCATTATCATGATATAATTTTTGCGTATTGTTAAATTACACTACATTTTTTTATTTTAGACTTTAATTGACTATAATTCATTTAATCGCATATTTAGTTATTAGTTATAATACAAATAAGACACATATTATCTTGTATCTTAGTAATCGAGTTTTTCAAATGTGTTATAATAAATCAGACAACTTGGCAATATTTTAATCTGCCTTTTTTATTCGTGAATTTCATAGTTTATTTTAGTTTTTAGAATAGATTTAAAAATATTCAGTTACCACAGAACTTGTGGAAACGCAACTTGTATATATATATAGACCAGTCAAATAAAAACGTGACTGATTTACATACGCTTGATTTTTATGTTTTCATATTTAAATAACGAAGTGTAATTTTTTTTTCTAGGATTACCCGGAGAAAAAGGGGATCGTGGACTTCCAGGTTAGAGCAATTTATTATTGTAGTAACTACTTAACCATAGGACTATGCGTCATTTAAATATATAGGCGAATCACATAAGTGATTAATCAACAATTTTATTTATGACTCTAAAACAGGGGTGGCCAACCTAAATGATTTTGCGGGTCATATATAAAATTATATTAGTATTTTTCTCCAATACAAAAAAATTTCGAGTAAACTTTTTAAATAGGATTAATTATTATTATAAAATAATTTTTAGTGTATTAATTAATGTAATTAATTTAATAATTAACTTAATTTAATTCACTGTTATTATTACTACTTATATCACATGGTTCAGGGACAATACTTGAGAACAAAGATTTTGTTGATGAATCAAACAGTTTTTGCGATTACGTTGTTAATAATACGGATTCCGCGTTATACGGGCATTCCAGAATATTTTATTGGGGGAAAATACATTTTTTTTTTTTTGTAAATGTTTGATAAATCTCTCAGGCTGCGGGTTAGCCATCCCTGCTCTATAACATCGTACATGTATTACGATTTGAAACATCTATACATCGACAGTAGTTCAATAAATATACATTAGATTTTTGTTAAAATAACTTACCTATATCCATGATGAATCGTTACATTTATGAATGATTTCGAATTTTAAATATTTATTGTGGAAATTACTTCAGTGAAACGTTTGTCATTGTAACATAAATACAAGTGTATTATACGTGCAATATGACGTTGTATACATGAGCACTAATTTATCTTGAAATAGTCCTATTTACATGTATAATTTTAATTTTTAGTATTCATAACATATCTTGTTTATACGCATACACATGTTGTAATTGATAAAAATATAATTTCATGTAAACTTTGATACGATACGGTAATTATAATTTATTCTTATGCTTTCAAAACATATTCTATTGTAAACTAATTCACACGTATCATATTATTAAGGTCAAACCGGTGCTACAGGACCCCGTGGTAATGATGGACCCCAAGGAGAAGAGGGCCCACAAGGATTAGCTGGTTTACCCGGAGAAATGGTAACGTACTCACCTCAACGATAGTAAAATTAATGTTGAAAATACAACTAGTACAATCGACTAACATAGTATTACCATAGCCGTGAATAATTACTATAACATGATGTTTCATCATATGAGATATAATTTATTTAATTTCGGTAAAATTGTTGTACATATAACAAAGCTAACTGAATATTGGATCTGTCATAGTACGATTACGTTATCGATCATAACGTTATGATAATTTACTCTTACGCAAATATATTGAACTGATATATTTTTTCTATAGAAAATGTTTGTTTCCTACTTTTAATATTAAATGTTGATTCACATGAATATTTTTTATTTGTTTTATTTTTACAAGAAATCAGTTAACGTTATACTGAAGATTATTTGTTTATTCACGTTTGACAAAAAGTTCTGTAACTTTTTGCTGTACCATTTATAACTACACATATAATAAAATTTGATTTTTACCTACATAACCACACAATAACTTGTACATCATTTGTGTAAGTTGATTGTGTTCAGCTGATATATCAGTACTGTTTAGCATTTTCTCTGTGTTTGTTGTAATATAGCTGGAACATAGTTTGGTTATTTTAGCAAGCTTCTATGGACACATAGGAAATCATTTGAAATGCAGATCTCATTTTTAACGAAATCTATGTTGTTTAGAGCTTTACTAAAAATGTATGTCTTACGTTTTGTTAGATATTTAATTTAATATTTTTTCCAGAATACAAATTAATTATTATTATATGTTCAGTTTCATTGAGCATTTGCGATACACACCGTTGTGATTGATTGTTCATTATATTATTGTATAATACAAGTATAATTTTCTATTTTTTTTCAACGTCCACTTCCCAAAAATAATAATTCATTATAAAATTTCAAGACTTCTTGTAACAATGTTTCGTGTGTGGATTCTTTGATTTTTCTTTTAATCGTCGTCCGTATTTATTTTTAGAATAAATTTTAAATATATTATGTTATGTACTGTCTAATTCTGTTATCAGTTCGAGTACAACATTTTTATACATAAACTGATTATATGATTGTGAAATTTAACCTTAGGGGCCCAGAGGATTTTCCGGTCTACGTGGATTCCCTGGTTTACCTGGTCCGCCAGGAGTTCCAGGATCAGAAGGACCAGCAGGTATAGTTATTTTGATTAGAATAATAACTTGAATATTTTAAAAATCTTTTATAATTTAATCATTATTATTTTGCAATATGAAAACAAATTATATTATATACTTTAAAAATTATATACAACATAAATTGAATAGATTTGTAGACAATAGTTTAAAATATAATTATAACAGACTTAAAAGTCCATAAAAACAATACATGTTTAAATGCCTTAATTAAAAGTAAAAAACAAGAAGTTTAATTATTATTTCAACACAATGTTGTTCTTAAATATAACTAAGCGAGGTTTTATTATTTAATTTAATAGCTGTAACAGTTATATACATATTTAAATGCAAGTGTGTAAATTTATTGCTATTACATTTTATGAGATGGACATTTTAAACGTCAAGAAACAAAAAATATAAATTAATGTTTTTAGTTAATTAAAACTTGTTTTGATAGAAAAAAAAAAACATAAAATATCTTCATAAATGCTCATTTTTTTTACGTTAAATAAGGAAATCAAATTTTTTAATTCCCTCTTTACCATGAAGAAATATGGCATACTTAGTACAATAATAAAAAAAAAAAAAACAAATTTAAATTTAAATATTTAATATATTTTATTGATAAATAAATATTAATCTATAAAATATTTTTAATAATTTACAGGTGCTAAAGGCAACACTGGAAATACTGGTACGTAAAATATATCAAAAATAGCATACTTCATTTTAATACAAAGCATTTTATAGACCTAGTCGTTTAGTACTTAATATTCTGATTTTGGTATTATGTCGTAGTAGAAAATTGTTATTAATAATTTTGAAACCACTAATTAACAAATTTGTGTACCTCTCAAGTATTTACACAATTAAATTTTGTATTGACATCAAATAATTGCTTTTAAAATGTTTTATACTAAAATTTAGAATGCGAGAAATTTAGAAAAAATATATTCTTATGCTAAAATATTTAGGTAAAATATTTTATTTTCCTATACCTATATTTAAATAATTTATAAGAATAATGTTCTTCTTTCAAGGAAATCCTGGACCACCCGGGCAAGTTGGTCCTGCTGGCCCTATTGGTTCCACAGGGGTACCAGGAGCTTTAGGTCCTCCAGGAGACCAAGGTAAGATTAAATTACATACTATTTTTAATATTAATCAAATTATTAATTATATATTTATTGCAACGTTTTATTTTTATTTTTTGTTTCAGGACCTCCCGGAAAACCTGGGTTTGTTCTATAAATAATACTTTATTTAATTTATGAATTTTACAAGTATTCAATTTTAATAGATTTATCCATACAGATACCTTCAAAAAGATATTCAACATAATACTACTTATTTATTTTTTTATATTTTATTTAATTTAATTTGTTTAATTAATTTTTATGTTACGAAGTTAATATTTTAATACTCATATATTTTAATATTTTATTTATAAAAAACATATTTTTAAACACTACAATCTATTTTTTACTTTATTTCTTAACATTCTATCACAAATCTTATATTATGCACTACTAGTTTATTATGTTCAGTACAAAAAAAAAAAAAAAAAAGGGTACATAGTATGAAATATCGATCTGGAAATTTTTATATTCATTATTTCAAAATATTATCGCATGATTTATAAAATTGATTGTCTCGTATAAATTAATTAGGTTACCAGGACTACCAGGCGCTGATGGAGCACCTGGACATCCCGGAAATACAGGTAGACTAGTAAACTAAAGCAATAATTAGATAATATTTTAGTGCTAAGATGATTATACAAATACGTAGGATCTGTTGGAGCTAAAGGAGACACGGGAATGATTGGTGCACCAGGTTTAGTAGGATTTCCTGGAACTCGTGGAGTAAAAGGTGATATCGGAGTCCGTGGCCCAATAGGAGATAAAGGTTAGTATATGGTATTTAAATGTGATTAATATGTGCTGAATTGCTTTGATGTGCAATATAGTTTAAAATAATAATATTATACGAGTCATAATATTTTTCTGTATAGGAGACAAGGGTGAAAGAGGATCCGATGGAGAAAAAGGAGATCAAGGACTTAAAGGTAAAAAAAACTATTTCAATATAAACGGAAATTTCATAATTAAATTAACTGATATTTTTGTCACGAGTTTAACCTCGCTAATATAAAAATTTAAAAAATATTTTAAGTGTAACTGAATTATTGACGTGATATTTTAATTTTAAATAAATGCTAGCACAATGATAATTAAACTAACAATTTTAAATTCTAGTGAATATACAACATTTAAATTAAATACACTGCTCTTTAAATTTTTGATATTCTGTTCAAGTTGAATACCTCATTTTTATCAGGGTAAAAAAAAAAAAGTCGATCATGTCTTATAATTTCTACTACACATTTTTACCTTTAATTTATTTTATAAATATTCCCTTCGAAAGACAACTTAATCTATCATTAGTAACATTATGATCGTATCTCATCGATGATTTTTTTTTAGAAACGATACATCATAATATTGACAGTGTAATAATATATAACCATTTGTCAAAACCTATAAAATATTTTTACAAAAGCCAATCATCAACAATAACTAAATTGTAAAGATTAGTTTTTTAATAAATAATAATGGTAGTTATTAGATTTAATGAAAATTGTTATGGTAAGAACAAAAATAAAAAGCCATTTCTTTTGTTACTTGTCCAATAATTGAGTTTATATTTAATAAATAAATAAAACCTTTATTTTTTATTGCAGGAGAGCCAGGATTGGTTGGTGCATCTGGTTTAGTTGGGATTGAAGGTCCCGAAGGTCCAAAAGTAAATATCTATAACAATTAAAATATCTTTAAAATCTTAAAATAATATTCAATTTATTTGATATACATTTATTGGAATAGAAAAATTGTTAAAAATTACAATTAATTTTAATTTAAAAAAGTTTTTAAGAAAATTTTACTTTTAGAAAGATATTGTCTGTAACAAGGGTTACGATTTATTCGTAGGGTAACATTCGAATATTTCTTATATGTTTCTTTAAAACTTTTATATTAATAAATTATAATTTATTTCAATGTACAAAAAAATAAAATAAAAATTTTTATTTTTCAATTTTTTTGATTACCGTATTACATTTTATTTCTCAATTTATATATATATATATATATATTTTAAGACATTTTTAAGATTTATTTGCATTTTCATATATTTACAATCAAAAAATATCAAATTTTATAAAATAAATATTTAAAGAAATGTATTCTTAGAAAATTGATAACAATATAAAAACAAATAAAATATTTAAATTTTTTCTATGAAATTAACATAATACTCTATTTAAAGAATAAGAGTAACTATAGAAAATAAAAATATATTCATTTCATGATACTAACCATGGCCATATATAATTTTTGTCAAAAAAAAAAAAAAAAATAGTTAAAATAAATAGAAAACTAATAACAAGCGTTTGATTTTATATGTTATATATATATATATAAATAAATAATATTTATATGTAAATAATTAAATATTTATAGTGTGATTAAATTCTATCCTTAATTATAATCATTTGTTTTAGGGTTCTGAAGGACCTCGTGGAGAAAGTGGAGTGATCGGATTACCAGGTAAAATATTTTAATTCAATGTTTAAGTTTATTTAATTAATTAATATGTGGATCATCTCTTAATTATCTTGGATAGGCGAAAAAGGTAAACCAGGACCAGCTGGACTACCAGGATATCCAGGTGCTCCTGGCGAAAAAGGCGACAAAGGAGCATTTGGTAAAGATGGTACACCAGGTGAAAAAGGAGAAAGAGTAAGCAACTATATTAACATAAAACTTATAATAAGTTTAAAATAAGTGACTCTTAAACAGTTGTAAGGCACTAAAACTAAATTAAATGTTTAAATAAGATTCTGAAAAATCTTCCGTGATAAAAAAAAATATATATATTCAAATTCTAAATACACCACTCGTCGATATATTATAATATACAATTTTTAATTAAAGATTTTATTGTCAACTTTCATACAACAATAAATACTTATTAATTACTTAAATTTCTTATCAAAAATGTAAAAATTAATACAATAGCACAAACATACCAGTTAAAATTTCAAATTATATTTTTATTTTCCAGGGAAACACTGGAATACAAGGAGAAAGGGGAGAAACTGGACCTAGAGTAAATATTGCACACACTAAAAAATTGTTTAAGTCTTAGCGCTATTAATGTTTCAGGCATATGGATATATTAAGTTAAATTATGTACTCTTAAGATATATAGATATATATAAACAATATATAAATAGAATAATTAATTAAAAATCTATTAACTGTTTATTGATCAAATTTTAAATTACTTTGAACTTTAAAACAATACTCCAATAACTGTAATACTGAAAATAAAAATTTTAACTATCAGTATTGATTTAAAAAAAAAAAAAAATTAAATATTTAATACATTTACCTTATACTACAAAATTGAAAATAATAATAAAAATATAATCATTTTTGTGTATTTAATATTGACAAATATTTTAATTTTAGTTTAACAAGTAAATCCGAAACCCAAGTTAATTAATTTTTTTTATATTTATTTATATATAATATATTTATTATTAACTAGTCTCAAAATTTTTCTGAAACATTTTTTCAAAAAAATATAAACTTTCATAGGGATTCAGAGGTACTAGAGGACGTGCAGGATCAGAGGGAATTCCCGGACCAAAGGTAAAATATAAATATATCTAATTTAAGCTTAATACTAAAATATAACTATTTATGATAGTAAATAATACACAGATAATTATACCAGATAATTATTAGAAGTGTCAAACACATTAATGACACATTAATATTATTATTAAAAAAGATTAAAATAAAATTCAATAATTTATAGAATATTTCATTATTTTCTTAATGTGTAAATTTACGTATCATATATTTTTAATTTTGTAAGTAATCAAGTACGTATGTTTTATTATAAAACAATCAAACGTCAAATGATTCTTTTAAATAATGTATAAAAGAAAATTAAAATATATAAACTATTATAATATTCATTCAATATTTTTTAAATTTTATTTTTATTTCAATTATCTCTACAAACATGTTTTCAAGTTTAAATTCCATAAAAAAATAATATAACCAATAACACGCTAGTTGAATTATTAATTTTGTTTACCACTGACATAAACAATCATTTAACTTGTAATCATAAATTATTTCAATTAATTTTTTATTGAATTATAGGGCGATACTGGACAACCTGGACCTCCCGGTGCATTGGGAGAACGCGGAATACCCGGTTCGTGATTATTAATTAATTGTATTCTAATTGAAGAGCTATATTCAACAGACAGTAGTTAAATTAACCAAGTTTATCGAAATCATTCGATTAACCATACCATAATAAATTAAGCACATCAATGTTTTTCTACTCGTAATTTATCATCAATTCCGAATTATTAATTGTCACTGTGTAATTGCGTAAAATGTGTTTCGTTTAATGCTGCCAGCATTTGTTAATTAAAATATTTTATCTTTACCGGATAATCTTACAAAAATATTCAACAGATTCAAACAATTATTTTTAAAATCTCAATCGGTTGACACATCATTAATGTATTCGGCATTTTTTTTTTAATTTCAATACATTTTAATATAATACGATATAATATTCGGTGATGTATATGTTTCGAGATAGAATTTCTAGGTAATAACCGTGATGGACAATAGTAATTATGATTTAAATTTTACTGTTCACACTGTTACTGTTATACATAAAACTGTGGAACTGTGGAAAATATGTAAATAAATAGTAATAGTGTAAAATGTATAATGTGTTCACATTGCTGTAACGATGCCGTCACTAAAATTTAGTTATTTTGTAAAAAGCAAATTATTAAAAGAATATCACGTTTTGGGTATTTGATAAGTATCAGTTATATATACGCTTAAGTATGTTGCACAACGTTGACTATTTAATTTGCATAGGGTAGGTGCTGATGGTTTAAGAGGATTTGTTGGTCCTCCTGGTGCACCTGGAATTAGCGGAAAAGATGGGTTACCCGGATTTCCGGGAGAACGAGGTCCTCCGGTACGTCATAAATTACATCACAAGATTGTGTTTTCAATGTTAAATAGTTTTAAATTAATAAATAAAGGATGATTATTTCGCATAACATAAAACTGTATGATTATTATACTAATTATACTATTATAATAACAGAATATCTAGTATAGCTTATACAATTATTTCTATCTTAGGGTGACACAGGTCCAATCGGTGTGACTGGAGTTCCTGGAGTCGTTGGACCACCTGGCCAACCAGGCGAAGTAAGTTTGTTTTATTTGGAAAACAAAAATATTAGATAATAAAAAATGTATTTATTTATTTTCAATTTTTTTAGGCAGGTTCAGTAGGAGAGCCAGGTCCTTCTGGCCAGCCTGGTTTACCAGGAGAAGCAGGAAGACCGGGTGACGCAGGTAAAATTTTCTAAACAAATAAAGTCACAGTTGTTTTTAAAATAAAAACTGGTTCATATTATTATCTCTGATTTTAATTCCGACTTGTTCAAGAACCTATATTTGTTTCTATTCTACATTCCATTTTGCTATAGAAATTAATATTAATTAGAGTGTAATTTCTTCTTATAAGAAAAAAGTGTATTGTATCGATATTTTAGGAAAAGAAGGACCTCCGGGTCCAGTTGGATTGCCAGGAATACGAGGAGAACCAGGATCTCCAGGATTGCCAGGATTCCCAGGCGATCGAGGTATGTTGTAACATATGCATTTTATTTGTATGAGTTGTAATTTTATAAAACTTGTATTAATATTGTTTTTCGTATTTTTGTTTATATAGGAATAGCTGGAGTACCTGGAGCAGTTGGCCTTAAAGGTATTGACATTTCATAGCTATACATATCATACAATATATCTCTAACACTTTTGTATAATTTATTTGTCATTTAAAAATTTAATGATAACTATTTTAAGCTAAGTACTTCAAAAAAATGAATATTTTTTATTGATTTAACCGTAAAATAATGCACAACAACTTTCGCATAACAAATATAAACAACATTATTAAAAATGAAACAAAATACTAACAGTAACAGTACTAATAGTAATAGAAATAAAATTAAAGTGAGTTAGCTACTGATATATTTAAATGCTAAAAAATAATTAGATTAAATATTAGTAATCGCTTTACAAAATCGATCAAATATCACTTACAATACTAAACTCATTTAAACCTTTGAATTGCACATTAAATAGTAAAGTGTGTAATGTGTTATTAGTTAAATTATCATGACTAAATAAATCAGAAAAGTACCTACCAGTCTTATCGTATAGGTGTAAATTTAATTTTTAACTAATTTTTTAGGTGATGCGGGACCTCAAGGTCCACCAGGATCCACGGGAATTAAAGGACAACAAGGAGAGCCTGGAAAAGAAGGACCTCAGGTAATATAATATACTGACAATGAAATTCGACTGCATGTAGATAATATTATATTATATAAACTATATATAATATATAAACTAATATAAAATTAGAAGTTTATCAAAATTAAATGATAAATAATAAATATATTTCAGTGGCGAATATTATATTTACATTTTTTTACTAAATTTAAACTAAAATTTATATATTGGTAAATATCAATAAAACTGTTCTTCGTGATAGAAATATTGAACAATTAAAACTTTAGCATTTTTTTCAATACACTTTATGTCTTTTATAAGCACGTGTCATATTTTATTTATTTGCGACAAAAAAATGCAGAATCCCATAGATAAACATTTTTGATTTCTTAAGGGTGAAATTAGAATTTACGATTTAAAACGATTTTTTCGATTTTTCTTCTTCAAACACCGAGACAAAACATTGTTAACATTACGAATTAACAACAGATGGGAATAAATGGCATGTGAAAATGTGCATATAAGTTATTGTAAAAACTTTACATTTATTCCTTTTATTTTATTTCTTTTTAAAGTGTTCGAGAACAATTTCACGTAAATGATTCGAACATGATTGTAAAACGCTTTCGAGTTTCTGCTTTATTTATTTTTGTACTATTTTTTCGTGTATGAAAAATATAAATAAAGCTAACTCATTCGCATAATATAATTTCTTATTTAAAAATTGAACATGTAATATATTATTTAACTCATTTCATATTATTCCGATGTTTATTTATCTATAAATTAAGTAATTGGTAAATACTAAGCATTAAATATGATTAATAATCATTGAAGAACGCCTCTGTGTTTTTGATTTAATAAAATAAAATTTAAATTTGATCATAAAACTACCGATGAACCGAATATAAAAATACTGTTCCATCAAATGGTTTAAGCTGTTATTCACATAAAAATCAAAGGGATGTTGAACAAATTATGTATATATGTGATGTGATCATATTTATGCACATCTTTTTACTGGATATCTACCATATTGAAGTATTCTATTACAAAAAGATGTAAAACGAATAAAAAATTAATATTATTTTTAATTTAATCAGAAATTTTAAAATATCGTATTCATTGGATCAAAAGAAAACTCTTTGAAGATTAATATTATTACTATTTCCGAACAAAACCGTAGAGGTAAACTACATAAATAAATATACATATACATTATTGCAAATACATTCTATGTTTATACCAAACAATTTAAATCTTTCAGTTCCTACTATGGTCTTAAATCCGGTTTAAATATTTAATATTATGGACGTAATTGAAATATTTTGATTAGATCGCAAATTTCGGATCAACCAAAGATTTTGGTTACCAATATTTCTCTCCGTATAGTGTTATTGATAAGTATACGCTTTAGTAGACGTCAACAAAGATTACAACAAACTTAGATCAACATTTCATCCATCAAAATTCTGAAGTGTTATAAAATTCGATATTGATACACGTGAAAATGCATAACTTTGATGAAAAATGTTTATGTTCCAGTTTAAATTTTTAATAAATAAGATATCTTCACACCAAAAACGTAAAAAATGTAATTAGTTTTGACAAAGTCTACGACTTTTAATGTTCCCTGGGCATATTAAAGTACATTGGTGTAATAGTTATAATAATATTTTAAAATAAATATTATTAACTTTGTGTATACCTGATAATGCATTTTTAATTCGAAACCAGTCATGCATTACACATATAATAATACTCCAGGCTAAGCGTTCGTTTATTTATTAATAAATATAAATATAAATATTTATTTATAAAAATTATTTTACTAATTTTATTATTATTTTATAACTGTATTTACTATATTAAATGTCAACCATCTTTTAGAATATAATCCTTTATATGAATTCAAACTAAGAAAATTGTACTTAAATGTCCAAGTAGAATAAGAAAAATAAAATACTAAAATAATGAATATTTACTGCTGGTAAAATAAATAGTTTGTGAAATGATTTGTCGAATCACTATTTATGTAATTGTAAAAGCATATTTAACTAATGTTTTATTTATGAAATAAATAATAAATTTATTTATTTATTTAGGGAGCTGAAGGACGAAAAGGACCACCGGGTACACCTGGTGCAATGGGATTGAAAGGAGATAAGGTAAAATTTTAATAAATTTCAATAGTAGATAAATAGTCTATAAATAATATTTTAAGACTCTAAGTCAGCGTTTTCCAAACTATGGTCCGCGGACCCCTAGGGGTCCACACGTATACTAGAGGGAGCCCGTGAACGTAAATTAAAAATACACAAAGTACTTATCTGTAAAAACGAAAATACTAATATAATATTCGTATTATATGAGAAATACATTGTCAAAATAATTATCGTTGAAAAGCAGTTAAGATTAGAGGCAAACTTATCGCGTTAGTATATCGTTATTTATCATAAAAATATTAGCATTTAGTTCAGAAAGTAAAGCGATTAATTTAGTATTATTATTTATTATTGTTTTTAATTTTCATTTGTATTAAGGAGTCTGCGATCATTTTTATTATTTCTAAGGAATAGGAAGAGAAAAAGTTTGGAAAACGCTGCTCTAAGTAGTAACATACACAAATCTAAAATGTTAAATGTTCAACATTTGTTTTTTTTTTTTTGTTCAAGACCTTGGCAAAAATATATAAACCATATAAAAAAAATAGCTTTAATAAATGTCATAATAGTATTTAAGAACGTACTAAAATAATATCCAGTTAAAAACGAATTTTATTTCGAATCCATAAAGGTATAAATAAAATAAAAGAATATTTAGCTTTAAATGTTCAATGAAATGTGACGAAAAAAAAACCTAAATGGCAAAATTAATGTGCTGTAAAAATCAATTATTATTCCATTGGATTAGATATTTATTTATAAGTTTTTTTTTTCTTTTTTTTTTTTTGTTACAAAAATTATTATAGATGGTATTTAAATATTTGATTTAATCGTTATTTAATAATAATTTCACAACAATAATATTCGTATTTATTTTTTTATATTAACTTGTTTCAATGCAGGGCGAACTTGGGCTGGCCGGTCCAATGGGAAACGACGGAATGGTGGGAGCTCGAGGCGTTCCAGGTTAGTACGACGTATTGTTATTTTTATCAATATTCACGTACAATTTAGTTAGAATCCAACTAATTAAAGACATTATTACTGATCTTTAACTGATACAATTAACGAAAATGAATTCGTCCTATTAATTTTATAATAATAATTGTTATTAATACTATTGAATTTATTATGAAAATTCAATATGAGTACTGGTCATAGTTGTATTTTAAAAATATTATATATTTTTCTTTTCTATTCTATAATTTAACCCTATTGTAAATTATAATAATAATAGTTTATTTGACTGACTATAATATTTTTTACGTCATAATATTGTTAAATAATCCCTATCCACCATTATGGAATACCTCTTATTGAAGAAATAAATTTAGGATATTGACAATAGTGTTAAATGCCTTTTAGATGTTTACATAGATAACGAGGGATAATAAAATGCAATACTTAAAAAAAAAAATTAAACCTTTATTAATACATAAATTAAATTGATTGTTAAAAATAAAAGATTTAAAAAATTTGTAAATCAGATATATAATGGTATTTAATTACATGTTTACACATCTATATGACATTATATTTTTTTTTATAAATATTTTTTTTTTCGACTTTATATAAATTTTTTTTTTATGCTTTTATACTTTATTTTATCGACGGACTTTTCCGTCGATAGACGGCTCATGATAAATATAAAAATTCAATTGACTAATAATAATTTAGGGAAATCAAAAATAATAGTATATATAAGTTAAATATTAAAATAATATATAAATATAAATACGTGAATGTATATATTATAGTATGAATAATAATACTTTTTGTGTGTCTTATAGGTCCACCAGGACCCGTTGGACCACCAGGAGAAGACGGAGATAAAGGTGATATTCGTTATAACGTTTTATAATACTAACAGCTTTGTAAATTTTGATCAAGACCATCCATTATTCCATAACAGGTGAAATTGGCGTACCCGGAGAAAAAGGATTCAAAGGTTCAAAAGGAGAAATGGTAGGTAATAATTTTATTTATATTTTTAACTTTATCACTTGTTATTATAATGATTTACCATTCTATATCAATAATGGTACGTCTACTAACTGCGGGAGAGAATAAAAGGCCGGATAAAATGATTAAACTTAGGGAATTATTAAAATGAATCAGTATGCTTTTCAATATACACGATTTTTTCTAGTTTAAAGTGACTCTTTGTCGACTGTAGCTGCTTACAGATTATTATTATGAAACATAAAATAAATATATGATATTAATACTCAATAATAAAAACCACCTTCTTAAAAAATCTTTTCAGTATTATGATGTATATTACATAAAAATGAGAAGTATTAAGAATTAAAGGTGAAAAGGCGAGGGAGAAGAAAAAGATTACATAAACAAATATGATACATGTACACATATAGTATCTATTTGTGTTTGTAAATATAAATATATATTTAAGCAGAATAACTATATCGGATTTATAACATAACAAACATAAATTTAACGATTTTTAAAATTCCAATGAGTTGTAGTAAAATTGATTTATGAAATAAAAAAATAAAATCTTAAAATAATAACAGAGAATTATTAAACATAAAAATAATTTATTAAAAATTATTAAATATTTCTAAAAATTTCAACATAAATAAAATATACAATGAAAGAATAACATTTTCTCTCTGAAATATTATGATATATTTTTATATTTTTATTATTTTTTCGATTTAAATATCATCAAATCGAAAAATAAACACTCTTTAAACCCACACAAGTGTACTTTATATTGGGCGATATATTTTTATATCGAAACCGGTCGTATACGATTGCACATATAATAATAACAACTGCCACTATAGGTAATAATTGTCATTTTTTCTACTAATAACTTATTTATTTTAGGAACATTTAGTAATCAATCCATATATTTAATAATTCTATGTTGTTAATTATCATACGATATCTAAAAGTAGTACAAATTAAAATCCTTATATCGATTTAAAAAAATTTGCATACACCGATCATTGATTGATCTGCAAATCATTGTATGATCTAGATCTCCAAAATGAAAGCGGTCCCAAAAATCAAGGTCATCTTTAAATGAGTTAAGTATTGTTATCATAAACTCGTTGAAAATTAAATAGTCAAATTTTCTACCTCGTTATATGGTACACCAATGACATTTCTTCAATTTTTGTAGTAAAAAAATATGGAGATATTTCTTAAGAATATTCAACACGAAAAATGATAATCACTGCCTTTTATTGAACAATAACAGTTTAACTCGACGAAAATTCTTAAAGCTCAATGATTCGTTATTTTATAGTATAAAGTTAATAATAAAATTAATTATATTAATAATAAAAAAAAATTTATATGGATTTTGAAATTTAGTTAAACGGATGTATGCTTTTGACCAAAGTTCGTATTTTCTATAACGTTCATTCATTTTCTTTTTAACATATGTGTATGCGATTCAATTTAAAAATTTGAAATCAAAACTAAACTTAGAAAACCTAAACAACCCGTATTGGAAAATAAAACTCAATTGTAGCATTCAAATCTTCAATATGTGAATTCCAAACTGCTAAAAAAATTATAATTAACAAAATTATTTTATAGAACCTTGTATGTACGATATATTAGTATATCCTTGATTTCGTACGGGTTTAATAATTTATCCCGAACGATTTCCATTATATGGATATCATAATATGTTATATTTTAGACTTTTATCGAAATTGATTGAAAAATCAAAAATTTCCCGAGAAAATACTCCTTTGTAAAACATTTTCTTAAAATTTCGTTGGCGTATTTCATTCAAATTAAAAAAAAAAAAAAAAAAAAAAAAATGTAATTGATACAAAAGTGATATTGAAATGCGTTTAATGTGTAAAACGTGTTTGTATAAAATATGAAAAATGATGTTATTAGGGTATACGAGATAATAATTCAATATATGACCTAGGGTCCGGTCGGAGCATTAGGAAACCCTGGATTAAGAGGTGAACCAGGATCAGTAGGGGTAAGAATTAAATAGTATAAAATAATGTATATATATATATATATATATACATATTTTTTTTTTCAACGAGTTATTTCTTTATCGATTATGTGGTGCTAGGCACCGGGAGAAAAAGGTCCGATCGGTGAAATCGGCAGACAAGGAATGAAAGGAGAAGAAGGACCAATAGGAATCGCAGGTAAATATCGATAATTCTATTTTACCGCAAAGACATACTTAAATATAAATGAGCACTTGTATTACTTTCCGTCCGTGTAATGTAGGACAACCCGGACCACCAGGTACCCAGGGAATCCCAGGACCAATTGGACCAAAAGGCGAGATCGGAGATATAGGAGCCAAAGGTAATTTGTACACATTATGTTTTAAATTTGATTATAGCAAAAAAACTACGAGGACTCAATCAGCGACAATAAACAAAATTAATAGACATCGTTTCATCTCACATTCAGTATAAAAAAAAAAAATTGGTCGACGAGATTCCTTCAAATTATATGGCTTTGATGTGGACTATGTAGGGTATATTCAATTAGCACGGTCAAATATTAGTTATATCGATAGATTTCTGATTTTAAACGAACCATGAAGTTTTGATTTCATTACATATAGTGTTAATTGAACGGTGATTGATATAGGTCCCGTCGGGCCACCCGGAACACCTGGCGAAATTGGCCCCAGAGGATTCAAAGGTGACGAAGGACAAATTGGTGAGTATAAATTTCGAATATTAATCGCAATCGTTTTTATTGCACGTTCAGACATTAAACTCAACCAGAAACATTAAGCTGAAACCGTTCCTATTAAATCGATAACCATTTCAAAACTTTTATCACAGTAGCGTTTAAGTTTTAAGTTTAGCGATTACTTTAATTTAATAATGTGCCCCAGAACTAATGAATATTCTCCAGGGCATTTTACGCTAGGATTTAACTTACTCAAGTAAATTGCGATAAAATAGTAGTAAAAAATGTTAGATGTAGAGGTAAATGATTTTCATACCGTAGAATTTCTGTTATTGTTTACATTTCAATACTTATAATCAATTGACAATCGATATTTGACTTGCGTAGATTTATTTTTTCAATATCATAACCGATGCTATCCTAGAGAATATAGATATATAAAAAAATAATCCAGAGTTTTTATTCTCATGAGTTTAAAAACACCCAAAAAAGTTTTCTCTTATTCTCATATATTTGATCTGTTTTTATTCCAACAATGCCGTTTGCTTATCGTTACTAGTTTATCACTACTCGTATTTTGTCACTTTTAACTCCAAACTCGGCTCGTAACCAAATAATTTTATGCTCTTAAAAAACGTACCATTTAATAAGAAAAAATAAATAAAAAAATTACACTTAAATATATACTCATAATTTTATAACTACTTATTTTATTATTATTTTTTCTTTCGGTAGATATTTTTTGTTTTTGTTTTTGAGCGCTTACAAATAATCATAACTATAATCAAAATCCACGCCGTACACATGATTAATGTATTTTATATTACAATTTATAGCCAATTAGAAAGTTGTTGATGTATGTTCTGTATCGGCATTTAGGTCCAACGGGTGCTGACGGGCCGGCTGGTCCAAAAGGAGAACCCGGTTTAGTCGGAGCTCCGGGTCCGCAAGGTCTGGAAGGAAAACGGGTAAGTCCAATAAAAGCAAATCGAAGGAATTTTCGATCCCGCAATACGTTCACGTCGTCAATTAGAAATTAATCATTTTGTGCATGTATACAGGGAGACCGTGGTCCGATGGGTATGAAAGGCGATGACGGGAAAATAGGAACGCAAGGACCAATCGGACCTAGAGGTTTGTATTATAAACAAGTATTATTGCGTACGACCGCCAACACTTTACTCCATTCGTAGCAATATTATTACAATTTTTCCAATTTTTTTTTTCTTGTTTCCAATTTTAAATAAAATTCAACTTTCTATCGAGTTTAAGCGATTCGTTTTAAGATACCGATGCCTTAAGAATTTTATTATGATAATTATTATTATTATTGGACATTATGCATGAATAACGTGTGACTAAAGTAATTCGTAAATCTCCGTTCGAAAGCATCCACTCGTGGTTATATAGTAATAAAAATGTTTTATTTTAAATATGTTTCTATTTGGATCAACAACTGATTTAAAACCATGAATTTGAGATCCATATTAGAGAAATATAGTCTATCGTAATAGGAATTAATATAATTATATAATATTATAATTACTGATTTTTTTTTTAACAACATTTAATAATATTTTTATTATATAATTTTGTTTTTATACGCTTTAATTTAATAATTTAAATACAATAGTGCCGATTGCAAAAAACTTTTAACTTTGAATGTAGTTTATTTTTTTAAAGATATTGGTGACCCCTGTTGTACACTAATCTTTATTTACCAAAATATAAAGAAATAATAACTATAACTTTACATTTGATAATATTTTTTCGCTTGAAAGCAAATTAAAATTTAAGATTCTGACCAATTAAAATGCGTATACTTAGGTTGATTTCAAATTTTTATAGTTCGAAAATAATACTACTACAATTATCTAAGTATAATTTAAATGCAAGTATCTATTAAAAATTCAAAACTAAACAAATTAGTCATAGTTATAAAATAAAAGTTTAAAACTACTAGAAACATAATATTTTTGTAAATATTTACATTCCAAATCAAAATTGATTTAACATTTTTACCATGAACAGGTAACCAAGGACCAGAGGGTCCAAAAGGTAATGCAGGTGTTCCAGGATTTCCAGGAATACAAGGAGAACCCGGAATCCAAGGCCCTAAAGGTGACAGGTGAGATTTTATTTATAATTAATTGATATAAACTAAAATCATATTGAAATCGTTGTAAAATTTAAAAATCCTATCGATTTTTGTAAATTTTAACCGATTTTTTTTTATTTCGCATACTATCCATATGAAAATAAATATGTTAATAGTAAACTATGATGTATATTGGAATTTTCTAACTCCCTTTGTTAAAATAATAAAATTGTAGAAACACATATTTGATATTAAAATATTTTCAACTCAGAATTATAAAATATATAATTTTAATTAACGAAGGACAAAAAAAACAAAATCATGTAAGGCAGTTTTCTAGATTATTTGATCAAAAACTAGTTTATGTGGTTATTTACGATTTACTAATAATAACAATAATAATATTTACTTATAATTACTCCTAACTTAATATTACATACACGTATATATCTGCTATTTACTTATTACTATTTATTAGTACCTTCAAAGTTTCATGTTGAAATCGTCAACTCGCTGAAATTGTTGAAGTCATATATTTTTTTAATTTATCTTATGAATAGATGAATAGATATTCAATAGTCTTTTTTTACCAAAACACTTTCTCCTGTGTTAAATATCTTATGATCATGTTTTAATTTTTAGAGTTTTTCTGTTTATTCAAATTTAATTTGTACCGTAATAATTCCTTTCTCACTAAAAATATTTTTACTGTTATTTTGGCAATCATTTGTTTACCAGATTTTTCTACACCTTAACATTGACTAAAAACATTTTATTATATGTATATACTCCTATGTATCCTTTTTGAGACTAAAAATAATCTCTAGTCTGATAATACTTTTTCAAAATTATGAATTATTCAAGTTTTCCCCCATTAAAAAATACTTAGCTATTTTCATTCCCCAGCGATTCACAAAGCATTTTTTATCGAAATATATTTTAAACTCATTACACCGAAAATAAATCATAGATTCTTACCTAATCAATTTTTTTTTTCTCATTGCTTAATACACAACAAACGAAACTCAACAATTAGTACTCTACGATAAACATTAAAATACTAATATTAAAAATAATTTATTTGTATTAGGTACTCATAAAAGTAATAAAAGATCAAATTGTTTTCAATATACAAAATACAATTCAACGAAATAGGTATTCATGGAAAAAAAATATAGTTAAAAATCAAATCATATTAGTACATTCTTCAATATTCGTTAAAAAATACAATTTTTAAATAAAATATGTGTTTAGAGGACGAGATGGTGACGACGGGAAGATAGGTGCTCCAGGACCTCCTGGTGAAATTGGTCCTATTGGTAAACCTGGTATTGTGGGTCCACCAGGACGAACCGTAAGTTATAATTTATTTAATATAAAGTAAATCATACGATTTTTGTTTAGTCAAAATTATTATTAGTCATCAAAAAATTCTCCGCGTAGTTAAATATCTGCTCAAATTATTTTCTATAATGCATAATCATATATTGTAGTAATAAAATTTGTCACAAGAAAAATGGTCCTTTAAGTAAATCATATGATTTTAGGGAAATGAAGGACCAGCGGGACCTCAAGGCAGTTCTGGTTTACCCGGAGAGAAAGGAGATCAAGGTTTAACAGGCAAGTTTACATCAAATAACTAAAATATTCACTATTTGATAGATTTTATAAATTTCGGTACAGTTTTTATTTAAGACAAATAGTATATAAGTAAACTATTTTTATAAATTAGTTTAATTGGGTTGTACTTTAATACTTTGGTGAGTTTGATTTTTCAAAAATTTTAATTGTAAAAGAAAAGGAAATTTCGGGAAGTGATCCAATTTTTATTTTTCAAATGATTTTCGCCCTTTAATGTAATTTTATGTATTAACTTTGACCATCTGACCTAAGTAGTGTAAATATTTCCAAATATCACGGTGATAATATAAATTAAAAATATTAATAGAATCTCATCAATACATTTTATGAGAAAATAATATTGGTAACGAGAATTGCTACTCGTATATTTTAATTTAATAAAAATAAAAATTTCTTTCTGGTAAAACACAATAGTTCAATAAAATAGATAATTATCATGTAAATACATGCCGCATGTTACTACTATGATTATTCTACTATATATTCATATTATTTGTTTAAATTCAAAAGTGCATACAAATCAACACATTCGAAAAACAAATTTGACCGAAGATTAGTACTAAGTATATTTCTATATGGTATTTCTAAAATATTTTAAAGAAAATAGCAAAAAAATTATAATTATTAAAATTCTAGACAATTTTTGTTTTACATTTTTATCTGTAACCCAACCGGGATTTGAACGTTGACTTTTTGTTTGAAATATTATTTATAAGATTTTTTTCATTTAAATTTTTCATTTACATTTAATTATTTAAAAATGTTGAAATTTATAAAAAAAAATCTTAAAATAATGGTACTTTAAGTAAAAATATAATCATAAACGATTAACTCCAACCAATAGGTATTAAGTAAATAAAAGTTACCAGATGAAATACTAAGGGGAAATGATTGTTGGGCAGTAACCCTATTATTATGTTAAAAAATAACTACTCATTATCAAAACAACGAGATATTTACATTCAACAACAATATCTTATAGCTAAATAATTTTTGAAATATCAATGGTTCTAGGCTTTTTGCAATTTATTACTGCGTAAAAATCCCTGTACTAATATAACTAACAAAATAACATAACATGTGTATTTTATAGATTTTAATTTAATTCATAAACTTGAATTAATTCTAGTTTTTATAGTTCTTAAAAATCAAATAAACTTCAATGACAATGAAATTCCGTCAGATTTGTAGTAGATAAATCATAACGAAAATGTTTCAAACACATTGTTTTCTGATACGTTTTTCGTCTCATAAATTAGTACACATGATAAATATAGGTACTATACGTGTATTTTTCTAGTTTCCTGAAGTAGTCGACGTCTATTGGAATTTTTTTTTCGCTCTTTTGAATTTTCCATTCTTTATGAGGATAATTTTGATGACAGGTATGTGAAATATGTGTACACAAAATATTCAACAAAACATTGTTTGGAGGAAATTAATGATGAGTAAATTTCGAAAATAATTTAGTACAACAAGCGATGCGTACATGTGTGTATGTTTATAAGTATGTGTAAGCATATAAAAATGTTTTCTGGTGTATATTATGAGAGATTCTACGCGCAAAAATAACTTTACATTAGCGAGGTACAGGTTAGGTTAGTAGGTACTCTTACAAAAAATGTTTTGTAAGAGTATAATTATTTAAATGGTATTTATTCGATTTCGAACCAGCGAAAATTATTATTTGGTTGAGGTGTGCTTGAAGGAATTCTCTCTAAAGGTATATTACATACTCGTATATTGACACTACAAATACGAACTCGTACCAGATGAAACCCTATCCTTATGAGTTTCACTCAAAATCAAACTTTCTCAGCCCAGTCGATTACTAATTTGCACATTTACGTATATTCAAAATAATTAAACAATTTTTGCATGAAAAGTATTTTTTTTTCATTATTGAATGACAACCAAACCCTTTGCTCGTTTTATTGAGTATGCAATCAAATTTAGGACTGTCACTGATTTAAAATATTATCACTTTGAATTTGATTTAAAAATACATAATCCATTATCATAAAACTATACAATGTTATTTGGTATTTCTAAATTTCATTATCATTTTACTGTGTGAATCACTCAATAATAATAAGTGCATATTAAATTAACAAAAGAAAGATCAAATATCAAAAAACAAACAAATTATATATAGTTAAGTAACAGTCGATAAAATATAATACCCTTTGGTTCTGGGATCAAGACCTTCCCTGATCCAAAATTGACTTCTTTTTTCGACTCTGCTTTGTTCATTATCTTCCTAATCATATATTTATTTATCACTTAATTCTCCTCCCTTTTATACTCTCCACAACCATGAAGCCTTATGCGACTTACAACACATTATTTCCTCATGCCCTTCTTTTACCCTTTTCCGCGACTCAATATTCTGCAAACTCCTCTTCCTTAGCTACTCTTATAGCGGAATAGTGTAATTCCAACATACTCTAAATCAACATTTCCCAAACTTTTTCTCTGCCGGACCCCTTAAAGATAATAAAAATGACAGCGTACCCCTTAATAAAAATAAAAATTAAAAACAATAATATCAAATAATACTAAATTGATTGCCTTACTTTCTGAATTAAATGCCGATATTTTTATGATAAATAACGATATACCAACGCAATAAGTCTGGCTCTAATCTGAACTGCTTTTCAACGATAATTATTTCGACAATGTATTTCCCATTTAATACGAATATTACATCAGTATTTTCGTTTTTACAGATAAGTACTTTGTGTATTTAATTTACATTCGCGGGCCCTCTCTAATATACGTACGGACCCCTAGGGATCCGCGGACAACAGTTTGAGAAACGCTGCTCTAAATATTTCTTGTATCCTTACGTTTCCGAATAAAACGATATTTCTTACTATCTAACCACATTAGATCTTCACGTAATATATTTTTTAAACTGACGAATACTTCATTGACATTGGTGCGACAACTACAATGCCTATAGGTGGGTATCTCATATAGATATCTGATATTTAAGTTGCTAATCATATCCGATTAATTCGATAAACGTTCGATAAATATCAACCGTATCAATCGTTCAGCCAAAAAGTATAATGATCTTAATCTTTCGACAGCCGATTGTCGTACTTAAATTATTGTTCAACTAAATTTGGCAGCGTTGGAAAAAAAAAATTAAATAACGAGGGTTTTTAATCATGTTAACAAAAATAACGTTCTCAATCGTATTTTACAGCACCATATAGCTTTATTGATCCCTATGTAATATTTCACCTAAATCAAAGATATAATAATATATTTCTTTTTGCATTTTAAGAGTATAATAATGAACTGACGTACGAAAATTCAATAATTTAATATTTTTAAAGTTTTGTGTAATAAATTCATTGATAATATCGTAATTTAATGTATTAATGCGTTGTATAATTACAATTCAAGTGACCAGTTAAAAAATTATTGTTGCATTATAAAATATGAGTCAACTATTGAAGTGATTCCGTTTTAAATAAATTTAGCATAAAAATACATAGTTATAGATTCTGGGATACTAGCCGTATGTGTTATGTATATAAAATATTATATACATAATATATAATAATATAATATATAAACACTTACAAAATTGGTAAAAACAAAAAAACAAATATTACATTTAAAATAAATTCAGAATGATAAGGAAAAGCTTAAGTCCCAGCTTCCCCAGTGTGTCACTAAGATAAATACATATCTTCTTTATGAACTGTAAAAGATGGAAGAATATTAACTATTTACCAATATGCGAACACAAACATTGTAACATGCTTGCGTATAGACGCTTACATATATAAAAGGTTGTGGGCGTTTTCGATTCTATTTTGCCAACGCCTGTCAACCCTTTATGACATAAACGATCTGAATATCATCTTCTTTCATCTTAGGGGACACTGAAAATATGACTCCCGAAGTAATTATGATAATTTTTGAATGGATCTTATCGCAGTTATATCCAAAACTGACCCTTTCATAAATTTTATCGAGTAAAGGTTGTATTGATTTTACAATAATGTCTTGTTTCCATTATAAATATTTCTTCATGTAGTAAATACACACATACATTATTATACGGCAGGTTGAGAGAATGTATTATATTTTATCGGGAGTGCTAAAAAAAATGTTTAATTCGCAATGAAGCATAATAATCTTTTAATGGTTCCAAATTATTTGAAAAATATCAACGTTGATAATAATTATATTTAAATTGAATGAACTTGAATGCAAAATCATAGATCAATTAAAGATAATTCAAAATTAATCAAAAGAAAAATTATGAAACCTACAGGTTTAAAAAATTTAACCGTTATTAATATTGAATATTATTACTTTGATTTTAGAACGGTCAAGAAGATAATCTTATTACTTTGATTTTAAAACGGTTAAAAAGATAATAAACACGCAAATTATTCGCCAATTAAAGAGAAAAATACAATAATTGTTTTGAGATAGATTCTCTTGAGAATGCAATATTATTTTATTGATGAATTTAGTTTTTCGTGTATAATGTTATATGAATTATATTTTATTCATTGATCAAGAAATAAAATGCTAGCGGTACAATTATTATTAATAATAAGGTATAAAATATTACATATTTTATTACAGATAGTATACTATTAGTACACCAATTTTTATTACCTTCGTATATTCATAGTTTCAAAAAAATTTCACCCATTGATAATATTATAAGCCTGTAATACAATTACAATTGTATTTTAAAACTATGAATTTTATTACATATATCTATATATCTATATAATTCTATATAAAATAATGATGATAAGTTCACTTGAAATCAAGTATAAAAATTCAACATTTGATGGATGGTCTAGTTCTTACTCGAGTTACAATTAGTAATAATTAGTTTGGATCATACAAATTAAATTAAAGACAACTTATGATTTTCATTACTTGTGTTTCCTATTTTTTGTTTTTAGGAGGTATTGGTTTACCGGGTCCTATTGGAATATCAGGTGCTCCGGGAGCACAAGGTCCTCAAGGAATAATGGGTCCACCTGGTTTAGCCGTAAGTATTGGTTTCTTATCACCTCGAAATCATACATTAAAAGTCTAAACATTTAAATATTTTCAGTCCAATATTTATTAATCTGTCAATAAGGACAATTATTTTTTTAGCTGCCTGTGGTTATTTGAAATAATACACAATCATACTCGTAAAATAAGAAGAAATATGACGGAAAAATGTGTATTAAATTTTAGGTAACCTTAAAATGGTTTTATGATTGATAAACGATTTTCTCATCAAATTTTTCCCTCGAATTAAAACGATCCTGATCTGTATTAAATAGTAGCACAGATAAATATTCCGAGAACATTTTAAATTTAAATTTAATCGTGTTGATCATAACATTTCAATACAATCATTCCTTAACAATTATTTTAGCTGCAGCACATTACGTTTTTGTTTATATTTTAAGTTGGTAAAATAACACAACTGATAAAAAATATACGCATAAGTAAGCAAAATCATTTTTATTTTTTCAAACGCACCAATTTGTTAGAATATAAGAAAAAGAATTTATTTTATAATAACACGATATGTAGACATGGTGTATATGTACATTTATTCAGAATGACGCCGCTTTGTTATGCTTTGTAAATATAAAATATTTAGTAATAGTACGTGAATAGAGAATGATGTACAAAAGAGTTAGTCAATCTGTGCTCACTCACGAAATACGAGCAATTATGGAAACAATATTCGAAATACTAAAATATGTTTATAATATTAAATAACTTTTAAGGTTATACATTTTTTTTAATTTTAATTTAAGAATAGTTCCTCATAAAAAACGTTAAAATACATTTTCATATGATATGCTATTAACGTACCAACCGCTATGGTTTTTTTTTCCAGTCAACTTTATATTATAACATATAATAAAATAAATAAATATATAAACTAACCATTCATACAAAAACCATAAAGATTTTTTTTTTTTACTCAATCTTAAAATAAAACATGTAATATTGTATTCTAACCACTATAACTATAATAGATAATAAAAAATAGTGTTCGTGATTTAAATGGTAGGATTTCAACAATCTATAAACATCGCGTTTTTGTACAAACGTTTTAAATCTATATGAATCTGCAAATATTGTATCTGATTGTATAGTCGATTTTTGTTATAAAATATGAATATAGATTTACATAAACTATACGAACTATTACAGAAATCACATCAATAAGTAAGATAATACAATTGTAATTTTTAGAATAATTTCCCAGGGTTTCCGAGGTATTTCCATAATGTTTTCTTCTTCTCCTTTAGTTCTTTCAGTCTTTCGACTGGTATTATCTTCCTACGATTCTCCTCCATTCTTCTCTATCTTATATTTTCCTTTTAATATATACGAATTTTAATCCCAACTCTCTACATGCCTGTGATATTAAATTTGTTCTAGGTCTTCCGATTCTTTTTCCTGGTATAATTCCCTCTAGAATTATTTGTATTAGATTATCATACCTCAAAGTATGTCCTGGTCATTGTAATTTTCTCATTCAAGTATTATAGTCCTTTGTCAATTTACTTGATGTAGCACTTGATTATTTTTCATTCTATTTGCCCAATTTTTCTTCTGTATACGTCGGTATTAACACATCTTAAATGATTTTATCGATTCTTTTTTATTGAATTCTTGTATTTTCATGTCTCTGCTGAATATAATGCTATATATACATATTATGCATGTTTTCAATATACTTTTGCTGAGAATGATATCTATCTTTTTTCATGAAAGGATCTATTTTTTTCTCATAAAATGTAATCTTCACCATTCCAATTCTTCTCCTAATTTCCATTTTACATCTTGCATCATCTGTAATTATTTGTCCTAATTAGCTGAAAATTTCACATTTATGTCCTATAACCATCTCCTGTGATGTTTGCTTTTATTTTTGATTTTGCAATCACCATTATTTTTGTCATGTTGGCGTTTATTTTCATACTATATTTTTTTTCCGTACAATTTATTTTGTTTATAATTTCTTGGTCCTTTTAATAATCCTAAAACTATAGCTTAATCATCTACAAGTTAATTGTTTTTATCCCAAATCCACCTATGATCACCCCATTTCCATCGCCTCTTATAGCTTTATGCATTATATTTTAAAATATGCATTAAACAAACTTGATAAGAGAACGCAACCTTACCGAACTCTGTTTCTAATCTAAAATTTCTCAGATTTTTCTCCATTTACTGAGATTACTGTCTTTTGTTTTGAATATACACTTTTTATCAATTTTACTATTCCATAATATTATTCCATCATTTTATATTCATAAAATAAAATAAGATGATAATCATTGGAATAATCAATGTTAAATTATATTCAGATTTTAAAAATGCACACTTTTTTTTTCTTGTTGAAAATGGAAGTATTACAAAATGGACTATTCGTATTTATGAAAAACAACGAAATTTTTAAACGTGTGCATTCAAATCGTTAAGAAATTAAACATTTTATGCACGTAAATAATAATAATATCACCCAAAATATTATAAGAAAACAATTTAAATAAATGATCGATTTAAATACAGTCGTTAATACATCCACGTATTATAATAATACAAACCTACGATTTTATGTAAATCAGATGACTGTACAAGATACAATTTAAAAAGTTGTCTTATTATAAAAGTATCATGAAATTTTGTACGTAATTTAATAGTAAAATTAGTAAGTTTTTGATATTATATTGCTCGTATATAAACAAGTAAGCTAAAAATATATTTTTAAATAAATAACTTTCGAGTTTTCCATTAAAATAGACGGCACGAAATTATTTTAATAACTTACAAGAATTATTACTAATCTAAAATATTACCTCAAGATCTTAATATTCCGTTCGTATTGATTTTTAATTGTTTTAATTCCAATACAAACCAGTCTAAGTGTATTATGTATGAATTACTTACATCTCATAGACTTTAAATTATGCGTTTGTTAGATACATACATTAATGTGCACAAAACATGCAAAATACAACAATATATTATGTATCAATGTTGGGGTTATAATGATAGCAATAAAAATGTAGTGTTTGTTAAGTTCATTGAAATTTATAATTTCGTAATTTATTAAAAACAGGGAGAAGTTGGTCAACCAGGAAGACCGGGAAAAGACGGAGAACCGGGAAAATTTGGTGAAATTGGTAATTATGATTACTTTTATAATTTTGACAACTTCTCTGACAATAATACCATATGATCAGAAAAATATTATAATATATTCTCTTCTAAAATTAAATCCTGTCTAAGATTTTGATAAAATTCATAATATAAGATTTTCTGTTGAAAAAAAAAATATTTTTTATTCAAAACTTAGACAAAATGCAGTGGATTCTCGATTGCGAAACAAAATACTTTTCCTTTTATGTAGTTTCAGCATTTGGTGTGTTATTTAATAAATCAAAAAGTGTAAGATTTTGAAATGACATGCAGGTCCCTCTTAAACTTCGAACTATCGAGAATTCACGGTACTTTACAACATATGTACTTGAAATTTATGATGCATTCATATAGAGTGTACTGTGATAATATTTATATATATATTTAATAGGACCACAAGGAGAAAAAGGAGAACGAGGAAAACGAGGACAAAAAGGTAACATATATTTATTATGAACCATGTTATTGTGAACTACGTATGCTGCGGTATTAAAAAAATGAAAATTTTTTAAAAATGTATAAAAGATTTAAAGTATTATTAGTAATAAAATAATCAAGAAAGAAAAATTGGGTTGAATAATTACAGGTGTGATAATTCAAATGGCGAAACTATTCAATTTTTTTAAAAAAAAATTAAATAAGTATCAAATTTTTATGAGGTTTCCGTGTAAAAAACAAATTAATTTTTATAGGTGTCAGATTCTTTAGAAAAAATTATCAGACATAATAACGTTATAATAAAGTAATATTAATTTGATTATAAAGAGACGATCGTTTTAACAATTTTAAGCTATTAAAAAAAAAAAGCTCGTAAATATGATTTAGATAATATTGCATAAAATGTCAGAACTATTTAAAAGTACTCAAATTGTAAATATAAATTCAAAAACTATTACAACCATTTCAAACGATAACAACAATAACATACAAGGATTTGTTTTTGTTATCAAATCAATTGTTTGACCGTTTTATTTATGATATAGAAAAATATATAGAATATGTTTAACAAACAACAACATATAGAACAAACATTTAACTATTTTTATGCTACTCGACTCTAACTCTATTGTCTTATATGACTAGGCTGTAACCATTTGTTTGACAATCATTTTTTTTTATCACATTTGCGTATTTTCTCTAAAAAAAATCATAAACATTGTTAATCACGCATATTGGCGAGATAAACCCGAATTCGATATATAATGTGCATTTGGAAAATTTGAAACCTGAAAAAAAATCATACATGTCATTCGTTTTTTCGAAAACTCGAAGATGACACGTGAAATTATATTATATTAATATATATTGAATACGTCATTAGGAACTGATGTAAAAAACATTAAATTATTTTTTCAATTCAGCATTTGGAAACATGGAAAAATAAGGGCGCAGAATAATAAAATATAAAGAAAAAAACTTGAAGATAAAAAAATATGTACATTTTTTATGTCCAAATGTTACTGAAACATAAAATCAATAAAATGAGTAATTGTAAATCATAATATATTTCTGATTTTTACAGAATAATGAAGATAATTTTTAACGTAGACGATGTGAATTAATTTGATGATTTCCAAATAATAACAATATTTAATATATATAAATAATAATAATGTTTTAATTATAGTTCACAAACATTTGTCTTTTTACAAAAAAATAAAAAACTATTTAATATGCAATAATACGAAGGATTATAGAATTATTGTATAAATATGCAAATATTGTATGTTTGTAACTACGCATATGTGTGGATCATTTAGATAATATCATAGTTGAACACAAAACCCATCATAGCATTTGTTTTACTATTCGTAAATCAGTCCAACATAATATTATTTTTTTTCTTATATAGAATGAGTTAATTATTTATTAATGCAATGTGTCTCACATATGATTTATGAAATACATATTACAAATATATTAGACACACTGATCTGATTTTTAATATATTATATCGTAAATCGAAATCGATTTTTTTCACTCATTAATTTTCTACGAAAACGTTTAATGATATTTATTCCTTCGTCTTCGGTTGGATCAATAAATTCCCGTGCGCGCAATATACTATGGTGGTTACAAGTATTGTTTAGTCAAAATAGTATTACGCAACACAAATCTTATATATGGCTATATACACAGCTTCATAAAATAAATATGATATTCGTTCCAATGGTTTTGTTTTTATTTTAAAATAAGGACGTAGCCTTCGAATGAATGTGTGGCACGGTACCGACTTGGAACGACCACTGCTGCAGTCATTCGACGTAGATAAAAAATTAATTTTTTTTTATCTTTGATCTTTAGGCCATCCTGGAGAAATCGGTCCAATGGGTATAAAAGGCCACGAAGGCGAAAAAGGTGACAAGTGCGAACGAGGAGATCGCGGTCCCGAAGGTCAAAAAGGAGAAACGGTAATACAAACCAAATATATTGTTTATTCGTTTTTATAATGGAATATCTATTATTATACAATGTTAAAAACGATTTAGGTACGTCGGGTTTTCTTCCACCTCTTTTCGACATAGTATATTTTTCATTTTGTCATGCGCAAAATTTTCATCAGGATCGTATGTTTTGATTCGGGTATAAGACCCCTTTAATCTCGTTTTAGAAAACGAGACAGTGACGATTGTTTTAAGGAGTCTTATCGCGCGTCACCGTCGATTTAAACGAAATGAATTTGAAACAAATTAACGAAATCTTGTGTTAATGTTCGAAGTAACAATCTGTTAGACGACACGAGTCGACATAATGCTTTAACAGTCGACACCGTGTCACCATGGATTCGTTTAAACGCACAGTCGCACACGCATTTACTAAGTTAATATATATAAACAATATAGATGCACTTGACAATCGTAAACACATCTATTTTTTTTTAAATTTTTTTTTTTAACAAATTAAATACAAGTACCAGTGCGGAATAGTTTCCCATCGGCTATGTTTGCGGACGGTTCACGTTTTTCATTTTCAAAATGAACGGTTTCTCGAAAATATGTAAATAAGTCTTTCGAGCAGGTTCTCGGTCCAGCTCTTTCAGTTTTAATTAACCATTAGTTTACCAGACCGGTAGCGTAACTTTAGGTAGAACATCAAACGTCTAATGAATTCTACTGATTGATGTCATTGCAATTTCGTTTTCATAGTTTTTTCTGTTGTTATACGAACGCGCGATCGACGACAAACAATCATGTTGCATTCCTTTAACCATTTTTAGCGTACACATTATTACGACGTCTACACACTAATTTATTAAGTGTATTAATATAATTAATCAATATATAATATAAATATATTATATATGTATATTATATATAATATAATATAATCAATTAAAACAATGGGATTTCACCAGCTCTTGAAATATAACCGATCGTATGAATATTCGATTTACCGTTAACAAGAGAATATTGTATAGAATTAAATTAGACCTTTATTCGTGTACCGCAAAAAAATAATAAAATAATTTTTTTTTTACATTAGAGTCAAGATTTATCCGTCAGATAAACACAAATGGTATGAAAGCCACTGCTGTAGTATTTCAAATCAGTAATTCAATTTTAAAGACTTGGTTACAAACAATTTGCGACGAATGAGTTTTTAGATAATTATTTCCGGCTGAGATTCTGAACTATCATGTAATTAAATAAAAAAGCAACAGCGTCATTGTAATAATTTCACACGACCATTTCGTAATATAATACTTAAACACATTTTTCTTAAAAATTGGGGTTTACAGAACATGAGACGATCGTGAAATTGTCAATATATGCCGTGAAATGGTGACAAAATATAATTTATTATAAAATAAAATGTCTAATAATGAAACAAATATAAGTTTATAGAATTTTTATAGAATTGATCAATTAAATTTCAGATTAAATTAAATTAAACAAAATAACTATTAAAATTAAATTAGCTACATAATAATTTAGTACAGCTTTTATAACATCCACAATGGAACAATGAAAATGAAAATGAATTAATCATCATACTTTTAATGATTATACATTCTCAAAATTAGAAAATTTTAAATTCAAATGGCACATAATTATAATGAAAAGGTTGAAAAATACTGATTTAACCTAACATTTTTTAGAAGACTAGATTATATATTAAAATAATAATGGAAAAACATTTAAATTTTTACGAAAAATAAAAAAGTACAAGTTTATTAAATGTATTTTGTTATGAGTTAATTTACAAGCTTTATGTTAATACTATGCGTTCATATCATTGTATTAAATAGCATTTGTCGTAAATCTACTTTTGAAATCATTTTGGTCGCATACAATGGGTTTTACTCATAATGAATCAATTTGATGAATTCTTTTTGGTAACTAATAAAAGTTATTAAAAAGTAGATGAATTTTGCCTTTATTTACTATTTATTTTGTACTTTTATTAAAAAAATTGACTTCATTCTTTTAAAGTTGTAAATATCGAGGACTCATTTTTGCAAAGCTAAATAAAAATGTATATAGAGGATAATAAAGCATTTGAAGAAATATCTTATTTCCAATTGTATTTTAAGTTATTTGTAGTTATAAGATACTCAGACACATGTCATTTTTTTTTTATACTTTAACAAAACTATTATAATCTACGTTATTTGAAATATAGGTTACGAAGGTACACTTACAAGTGAAGTAAAAAAAAATCCCATTTCTAATCTTCCATCAAAAAAAAAAAAAAAACTTTGAAATAGTTGTTCATTGTATTTTGAGTTATCACAAATTGATTTTGTTTTATATAATATTTGTAATAGCTCACTGCTGTTTCAACAGTCAAAATTTAAAATCCTCAAAAATCCTTTAGGCATATTTACAAAACTGTTCTTGAACGTTGAATACACGATAATCTTAAAATTTGATGGGTTTACTCGCATAAGTCTTAATACCTATATATTCGTTTGTGAATAATAATCGTACTACAAAGAAGAAAATGGCAAGGAATTATTTTCTTTTTTTTTCGTGTTAAGAAAAAACTTGAATGTTTACAATACAAGGGTTTAGTGCACTAAACGAAAGTCATTTGTCAAACGAGGGAATATGGATTAGCGGGGGAAAAAAGCTCCCAAAGATAGATTAGTTGAAATAGTTTTTAGAAGCATAGAAACACTGGCCATATAAAAGTAATTAAAATGATTATAAGAATGACAAAAGGATAAAAATAAATACTGTTCACAATAAATGCTGTTAAAGTGCTTAATGGATTGGTATGTCAACAGATCTCGATTGAACGTTTTCTTAAACCTTAATAACAATAACAATAATAAACGCCGAAAAGTGTAATGGTTTATGTTGATGTGCGGCAATATTCAAAAACTAACTACTTTTCAAAAATCAATTGGTTTTTGTTCTCAGGGTCCAGTTGGATTACCAGGAGTCAAAGGCAACGATGGTCCGGTCGGAGCTCCGGGCGCTGAAGGTTTGCCAGGTCCCAAAGGCATTGAAGGAGTGGCGGGAAACAAAGTAATTTGAATTAAAATATTCTGTATATATGGTACATTTTTGGACTAAAATCTATATCATAAAGTATACGAATATAATGATAACATGATAATATTAAAATTCTTGTTAAAATCTAAAAACGCCTTTTCCACGTTATTGAAGGACATTAAGCAATTGTAATAAAGTTACATCGTACAATCCAGCGTTTATTATCTCAAACAAATATAAATTTAGAATTTCGGTCTTTCGAAGCTGTTTAGTATACTTTATCAGTCAACATTCATGGAAACGATGAAAATTAATAAGTTATTGTCGAGAGATTAACAAAGAAATTATTAATTTTTCTATCAATAGTAAGAAATACGAACTTCGTAAGGTGCCTGTGTTACTGGTATCTTATCCATTTAATTTAAATAATGACATACGCACTATTGTGCGTAATTTTGAACATAATATTCAAAAACGTCACATAAAAAAATTGGGTGAATATATTTTGAGTCACACACACACAAAGGTTGAGAACCGCTGCTAAGTATATACTTCATAAACGTTTCGTTTTCGTGACGAGGATTTTTTGCACGAGATTTTTCGACCAAGCACCCTAAGCTCTCTCTAAAAATCTGAATTTGTCCTCAATTTAGGGAGAACAAGGACCTCCAGGACCACCGGGACCCGCGGGACCGCCCGGAGAGTTGCCGTTACTACCACCCGAACTAGCGGACTTTCAACAAAGCGCTTTAGCCCGATGGAAGCGAGAGCTCAACGACGTCAACACCGCCGACGACGATGGTAGTGGTGCGAAGTCAACGACCAGGCCAACAACAACGACTAAGGATGGTCCAAAGCTCAGTGGCGAAGGTGACGGCCCGAAATACATAGACATTGTCAGCTCTATTTACGGCATGAGACAGGACTTAGAACGAATTAGGAAGCCCGTCGGCACTCGCGAGAACCCCGTCATGACATGCAAAGATCTATTCTACGGGCACCCTCAGTTCAAAGATGGTATTAAATATATTATTATATGTAATTATATTTTGAGCTAAACATGAAATGTATATTGATTAATTATTTACTATGTGTTTTGTTCGGCTAATATTTTTTTTTAATAGTCCAGTAATCAAGTTTCAACAAATGTTTAACTCGCACACTTTACTTCAGAGTTATAATTTTTGATTATATTAATATTAGTTTCAGTATATATAAAATCAGGAAAAGAAAGTAGATGGCTTCATTATAACATTATAATTTAACGTAACAGATAATTTTTGTATAACAAAATTAATGATCAATCATCAATGATATTATTGATACACACGAGTATAAATAATATTGATTCTCAGATATGGATTTTGACATTAGAATTAAAATCAAACTAATGATAGTCTCTGTACTGATGATGTTTCATTACAGGCAGCAAGGCCTCTTTTCAAATTATAAATTGTATGCAGAATAAACCTTAAACTCATCATGAATATGATACAATAATTATCAGAGAAAAATGTTTAATAAATGGGCAGTAGTGTAATCACGCATATGTTTCAACATAAACTATAGGATACATATTCACACTTTTGCAAGCTATAAAATTATCATCATTGATTTTCGGATTAATAATACATTGATAAGCGACCGATGTCTGTCCAAAAATGAGTGCTGATTTAATATAATATATTCATCGATAGCATCCTTTTACATTTTTACCGAGACCTTTTCATTTTTTTTTTTTTTGACGTGTTTCTTCGTGAAAACATTATTACATAAATATTGAAAGGTGGTAGATAATTATTTTTCACTGTTGACTACGTGAACTTAACCATATCGAAATTTAATGGCTTGCAACAAAAGAGATTATGGTTGTTATTAACGACATGATATCTACGAGCAGATAAAATGGCGTATGATCCCAGCCCGAGCTATTAATAATAATTAAATTAATTTAAACTGTTGATTTAGAGCGTGGGTATATTCGAGTAAAAATTATAATTGTACTCAAAATGATTATAAACAGCCTCACACAGAATGTAGTATGCATATTAATGATGCTTATTATATTATAAATCGACGCATGAAAATTATAGTCAATATTTACCACTCTCATGTGTATGAGTTTTTCTAAACGCTATAACATTACATTTTCATGTGTTTACGTGTATTTAATATTCAATTACTCTAATATTCTGCTAGATAATATTTTTTGAATTCATAACGCCCACCTTTACAGGTTGACTGTAAATATTTTATTGTCAAAATTCAGCCATTATATATTCATATTTTTAAATCATAGTTTTCCTTACATTATCGGGAAATATATACCTACTACAAAAGCTGTATAACATTTTTATACAAATAAAATATTTTGGAAAGTATACGCGAAAAAAGTAATTGGTATACTACTGAGTACTCATAAAAAAACACATTTTCATTCATATACCTATTTCATTCGATTATAAATATTGCATTGGTAATTATTGGATTTATGAACTTCAAGTTGCCTTATAAAACACTAATACGCATAATATTTCAAAAAATTTCAATTGTTTCAGTTGTACGCAAATTACGAATGTTATAACCGAATTTATTTACTTAAAAGTATCCCCACTCAGCTCAAAAGTACACATATAATTTGACTAAAAAAGATGCACTTTAAATCATCACAATTAGTTGTAGCTTTTCAGAATATCTCGAAGTAAATTATATTGACAACGAATCTTTTTTTTACCTACGATACTATTGTAATGTACTTCTTATCATTTTTTTTTTTTTTTATAAAAAGAACAAAAAGACCGCGGCAGCTCTGGCCATTGGTCAGACAGTGACTTAAATAAATTACATAGTTACATATTTACATGATTTTATACAATATAAAGTTATATTTCTTTAAATAAGGTAGATTTTTTTAGGAAAATAAATAGTTTTTGAGTTGCGGTTGGTTCAGGGCTGAAGATTTCGTATAAGTGGGTGGCTCCAAGGGTTATCATACGTTCTTGCTGGTTATTTCTGCATTCTGTGAAGATGTACTTGATGGTGAGTTGAACACGCAGGTAGTACAGTTGGGGGGATCCTCTCTTGTCATAAGGTGGCGGTGGGTTAGTAATGTATGGCCTATTCTTAGGCGGTTTCAAATTTTTTCTTGTCTTCTGGAACAACCGGGAGGAGGAGGCCATGGGAGTATTGATTTTTTTATTTCATTGAGTTTGGTTGATTGATTTGATCAATATCGTTGCCACTTTACGGCATTAAGATTTTTTATATATTTTTTTGCGTCGCTGTAGGTGAATCCTGGTACATTGATAGCTTTGGGTGATATGTGTGAATGTTTTGCGACCTCGTCGGCTTTTTCATTACCTGTTATATTGCAATATCCTGGAATCCACATGAAGGATATGTGTTTCCCGGCAGAACGTGCAATGTGACAAAAGTTGTGAATATTTCTAGCTATATCGGTAGGGTTATTTATATTTTTGAGGCTTGTTATTGCACTGAGTGAATCGCTTAGTATGATACAGCGTTTATCGTCGATGGATTAAAAGAAATATTTGATTGCTTCTAGTATAGCCATGGCTTCAGTGGTATATATTGAACATTTGTCAGATAGTTTAAGTTAGATTTCAGTGTCACTACATATGAGGTTCGGCATTGACTATGATTTCATTTAAGTGGTATTTATATATTTTGGGATTAGTGTCCTTTTTTGGGAGCTGATGTAGTTCGAGATTGATATCTAGGGAGATTGTCCAAGGTGGCTGAAAGCTGATAGTTGATGGTATGATCTGATCTAGGTTCAATTTGTCTTGTAAATTTTTGAATAGATTATTGGGAGATGAGGAGATTCTTTGTGGGGATCTATGGATTCTGGCTGTCAGTAGTGATTTTTGCTCAGCCCATCTTAGTGATAGGGAGGGTATTCCTGCTATATTGGATATGCTGTCTATAGGGCTGGATCCAAAAGCTCCTATTGCCAGGTGCATTCCTGAGTTGTGAAGATTTTCGAGCTTTTTTAGGTGGCATTGGATTGCTGACGAGAATAGAGGAGATCCATAATCTATTTAGGACAAAATTAGTGATTTGTGGATCTTGAGAAGTAGAGAGGAATGGGCTCCCCATGAGGTATGAGATAGCAATTTGATTATATTGAGACGATTGGTGCATGCTTGTTTTAGTTGTCGGATATGAGGTGCCCATGAACATTTTGAATCAAACGTTATACCGAGGATCTTAATATATTTGACATTTTTAATTATATGGTTGCCCAAACTAATTGACATTTTATTTTTGTTTTTGTTGTTGAATATAGTGAGTTTAGTTTTTTCAGCTGAAAATCTAAACCCTGATGAATTTGACCAATTTCTTAGTGAGTTTGTGACATCTTGTAGAATTTGTTTTATTGTTATTAGACTGCTGCTACGACATAAAATGGAGAAATCATCAGCGTACAGTATGGGAATGATTGGTTTTGGTGTTTGCTTGGAAATGTCATTAATGGCCAGCAGAAAAAGGATTACGGAAATTGAAGAACCCTGAGGAACTTCATTTTCTTGTATATATGTATCAGATAGGCAGTTTGATGATTTAACTTGGAATGAACGTTCAAGTAATAGGTTTTGGATGATGTTAAGTAGATTCTCTTTACATACTATTTTGTTAAGTATGTATAATATTCTTGGTCTCCAAGTGGTGTCGTAGGCCTTGGCAATATCGAAGCTGATCATGCCTAAACTTTGTTGCTATTAGCTATTTCAATTTCTCTTTTGATACTTAAGAGATTGTTTAGGGTGCTTCTATTTTGTCTGAAGCCATTTTGTTCGGGAGATATGTATTTAATTTTTTCAAGGAACCAGATGAGTCGACGATTAATGATTTTTTCAAGTAGCTTACATAGTGTGCTAAGTAAAGTGATGGGGCGATAGCTTTCGGTGAGATAATTATTCTTATTGGGCTTGAGGATTGGGATCACAAAACCATGTCTCCAGTATTTTGGAAATACGTTATTAACCCATATAGTGTTAAAGATGTCACGTAGGTGTTTGATACTGTTGAAGGGTAGATTTTGAATAAAAATATAAGGGATGCCATCTGGTCCAAGGCTTTTACTTTTGTTGGTTCTCAATACCATTTCCAATTCATCCATGGTTATTTGGGAGTTGATTAGGATTTGTGTGGTATCATTAGGGTCGATTGTGTTTGGTGGAGAGTAGTATCAATGGCGATTTATTAGGAATTCGTCATCGTAGTTGGAATTGCTTGAATTTTTTTGAAAATATTCTCCAATAGAATTTACCACTTCCTTTGGTGTTGGTATGAGTTTAGAGTTGTATAAAAGTTGAATATTGCTATATCGGTTGGTTACTTTGAAGAATTTAATTTTACTCCACACTACTGAGTAATCAGTCTGGTTATCTAAGCTAGATGTGAAGGTTTTCCAGGATATGGCTTTACTGAGTTTAACTAAAAATCTAGTGCACGCTCTATTTCGTTTTAATTCTACGAAATCATTTGGGTTGTGTGTGTTTTGGTAATTTTTAAGGGATTTGTTTTTATTTATAATAGATGTTCCTATTTCATTGTTCCACCATGGAACCTGAGGTCATTTTGGTTTGTTGTTGGCTAGTCCTATGGACATTTTTACAGTGTCAGTGATGAGTTTTGAGAATTGGTTTACATCATCATCGATGTTTTCTTTAGTAGGGGGTTCAAGTGTGGATATACTGTTTTCGATTAATGAATTTAAGAGGTTCCAATTAGCTTCTTTAACTTTCCATCTTGGCGGATAGCATAAGTCTTCTTTGTTTGACGAGTAAGTGAATGTTATTTGGATGGGAATGTGGTCGCTGCTGAAGATATCAGGTAGTACTTTCCATTCAAATTTATGTGCGAGGGAGGTATTATATATAGAAAGGTCGATAGCAGAAAATTTCCCGTCAGAGGGATTTATTCTGGTGGGCTGGCCGGTGTTTAATGTTACTAGATTGTCTTGAGTTAGGAGCTCTTCAATTATTTTTCCTCTTGTATCGGTTTTATGTGATCCCCAGATTGGGCTGTGGCTGTTGAAGTCCCCGACTATTATGAACGACTGTTGGAGTTGATGGGTGATATTTTCTATGTCAGTGAGTGTGAAATTTTTTTTATTGGGGAGGTAGAGGTTGCAGATTGTTATTTTATCATGGGGTAATGTTTTAGATACCGCAACAGCTTCTATTTCAGTGGTTATATGTATTTGTTCACTGGGGTATTCTTGACTGACGAAAATTGCTACGCCGCCGCTGGCTCGGTCGCACGTATTTCGGTTTTTTTTATATATGTTGTATTGAGATAATAAAGGATTGTTCTTGTCTGTGAGATTTGTCTCTTGTAGGCATATTATGGTGGACATGTAATCTTTAATAAGTAATTGGAGTTCTGCAAATGTTGAGTAGAACCCGTTCATATTCCATTGTATAATGTTTATCATATTGTTTTGAAACTATCGGAATCAATTTTATGGACTATTAGATTTATTATTTAACCAAAATCTTTCACTAAAAACTATGTTGACAATTTATGTATTCTTACATTTAAATAATGCAAATTAAATTATTATATTATCTCTTTAAAGTTTAACGATAAAATAAAATGAGCTCTTTGAACTTCGAAGTGCATTCCTACATTTTGTAGTTATTAACTTACTCTTACACATTGGAAAAGTAATCTCATATAAAAGGAAGATAATAATAATCAAAATGTATTGGTTCTTGGGATACAACCACACATAAATTAGTTTAAGTGAATGATATTTGCGATATAGTAAAACAAACATTAACCAAAAATGTTATTTTAAATCAATTTTGAGATTTAATAAATGTCAGTTCTCTTGAGATATTTTTTACATAGCTAAAAATGAAGCTAAATATGTACGCTTGTACATGTTGGTATTTTAAATCTCAACCTAACCTTGAACTTGATATTTCATTTTTAAATAAACTCAGAAATAAATTTCCGAAAAAGTGGGTCTTTCGCAGTTATTATGTTAGCGTAATAAAAAAAAAATATATAAATCGAAATTCCTAGATCGTATAAAATTTTACGACTGGGTGTAATTCAAAGAGTGGTGAATAATATTTATTACAGAATTGATTTTATATATTTGAAATCAATGGTATATTGATTTTAAAAAATGATTCTAAGTGAAAGAATTCGGATGGATCAAAATAGTATATTTAGCTAATTTTTTTAATTTTTTGACATTTTATCAGTGCTTTGCAATTTTTAAAAAAAATTTGTTAGAAATTTTATAAAATTACACCCCTAACGTACCCATAAGACAACGTAATAGTGATAATCTTAGCCATCATCTTGGTCAAAATAGTGTACAGTAAAAAATTTAATATCAAACGATGATAAGACTTATTTGAGACTTTCAAGAAAACATTTTTGTAATGGCTGTAAAGAAAACATAAAACATAGATACAAAAATAAAAATTTGGAAATACTAAAAGATAATTTTTTAATGAATTGGCTACATCTTATCCTGACGACAAAAATTACTAAAAGGTTCAAATTTAAATCTCGACGTCGATTGAAGTTTTTTACAATTTTTTTCTGATTTTCTCATTTATTCGGAAAATTGTAAGGAAATTCAAATACAACCTAACCTGACCCCTTTCACCCCAAATATATCAATTAGATACTGATAAACATATTTTACTTCTTATTTAGTAAGGAGCAAAGTTTCCACTTTTAGTCTAAATCGTAAATATTCTTCGTTTCACTCGGAATCTAAAAACCAGGAATTTTAAAAACTGAACAATGCATTGAAATAATTTCGTTAAATACCTGATACCTGGCAGATCGTTTGACGAGAAAAAAACATTGTTAACATAATTAATACGGTACCGTCGATGGTAACCGCGATAATATGAATAACTTGTTCAAAAAGTTATAACACATATACAGTGTTTAATGATTCGACGAGTAATAATCGTCAGAAATGCCGTTTTAATATTATTGAAAATAATCATCAATAATTCCGACGATGCTTCAACGTGAGGTAATATCATGGTAAAGGTTTACAACTGCGTATCGGCCGCCGTACACATAATGTAATACGATTTCCTATTAAACTGTTAAACGGTTCGACTACGGTACATAATTGTACAACGGTACAAAATATTTTCCATATTGTTATTCATCATATAATTCATATTACTATTGTTATTATGATTAATATTATTATAATTATTATTATTATTGTTATCATTGTATTGTCGTTTAAGGGTGGTACTGGATCGATCCGAACTTGGGCATGCCATACGACGCCGTGTACGTGTATTGTAACATGAGTAGCGGCGGAGAGACTTGCGTGTTTCCCGACATACACTCCAGTCAAATGCCTAACATACCATGGCGAAAAGAAGCCGACAAGACGGACTGGTACTCAAATCTACGGGGCGGTTTCAGGGTAGGTCATAAAATTGTTGCGCGCGCGGTAACGCGATATATTAACACCCAAGCGATGTGCGCGCATCCTATTATACGTCGGCATTTTCTCAAGGGCTGGCAACGCGAGTGATGGGGTGATATGAAAATAAGGTCTCGTAATGGCATGACACCGGCAATTATTGCGATTTGCCGCCACGCGCCGTGCAACGGAATCGTGTTTTATATTAGTTTCATCCTACGCCTGAAATAGTCCGGCAGGCCAAGGGTTGACCGGATACGCGTAGCTACAGTATCACGTAGAACCGAAAGGTACGCCTTGACAATATTCTGATGACAAAGAAAGGTGTTCATAAATCGAACTGCTGTATCTTGACCGAGCAGTGTCTTACGATTATCATTTTTTTTTTTTTTATGTTATTCGGAAATACGTAACGACTATGCAATATTAACTCGTAATTTTGATATTAATTATTATGTTGTAAATGGCGTTATGTCGTTTCATAAGGAATCCTTTAAGTCACTTTGTCGATCACGATACGCATACAAACGAAATGCAAAAACTAAAACTAAGATATATGCGATTAACGCAATTGTTCTAGTCGCACGACCGTTATACATGAGACTTTTTGTCTGTACGCCAATTACTTCGCTCTCACGTTCTCCTCCGAATTCGTTACACAATAACTCGGGCTGTTGTAATTTAATAAAATATTGTAAAATCAATTTGTAATAAATTACAGTTGTTATGACTGATAATAGTTTTGTCCTAAACAGTTATTATATTTTTTTATTTTTAAACAATAAAAAAAACCGACCTTAACATTTCTTAAATATTTTTTTTATATTAAATACATTTAAAAATAACAACGCCCTCATTGTCATAACAATAACTCATTTCGTCGAATTATAAAAACAAACGTTTATAAAAACAATTTTTTGGAAGAAGCTTTTGAAATTATTTTTAAAAATCGGTTGGAATAAACATCAATAATCTCGTTTATTTACATTGTTCAGGTTTACGAAACAAAAACGTTAAGTAGTATTGTATAAAAAAAAAATTGAAACATCTTTGAAAATCTTATAACTAGCAAATAAAATATACCTGTCAAATTTTACTCCAACTACAATTTCCACACGTTTGGCGCTCTTAGGCTTGCTGTATTTTTCCGATTATCATTGCGGTTTTTTTAAAACTTTTAACGAATTCAGAATGTTTAAATACGTTGTCCGTAAAAGACGATTCCGATTACGATACCGTGCATCTTATGGTAGACTTGAAAACCGTAAAACCATTTCAATCATTTAACACGTTTGAGACTCGTAATGCGTTCACTCGACATTACATATGTGATTCGATCAAAATCTAAGAGAAAAGAAAAAAAAAATTGAACGTAAATACCGCAAAAGAATAATCCAATGTTAAGACGTCCATTTTCCACTTACCACGTTGTAAACACATACCGCGGTAGCAATCACTACATAATATTATAATATCATCGCGGGCGGAAAAACAGAGATAAACTTCCGGTAATCCCCGGCACCCGTACCATTAACCGCCGGCCGACGCTCTCGCGATATTATCGTTGATCAAATTACATTTTAACCGTCGTGGTTGTCAGCACCGTGTGATTTCGCGGCAAAACTTTTCTTCTCCGCCGCCCTGTGGGAAGACGTGCGCACCATAAAAATAATCGTTTTATGCTCTGCTCTCCGGTGATGACTTTACGGGACGGAAATCCCTCGGGAAAAGTTCTAGAAGGTTTAGCCATATTTCGAGTTTCAACCGGCAATCAGCAGCTACCATCTTCGGTATTAACGGTCACCACGGTAGGTACACGACGCGTGATTGGACGAAGGAAAAATCGTTCATATCCATATTTTCGTCGTACTGAACCGGTACGTTTATAATTACGTCTTTTGCACGTAACCAAACCGTATGGATATTATTATTATGATTGTTTTTGACAACTCTTGATTTGATTTCATCGTAACAATATTCCGCTGTGTGACGGAGTATTGAATCTTCAATTTTCACCGAGAGCTGGAGGCGTTTATAATGTGGTATTCGGCCGAAACTGCGAAACAATAACTGTAAAAATCACGAATTAATAACGGCGAAAATAAAAACAGCGAATTTTAAAAAAGAGCGAAAATATACGATTAGGCATTTAGTGAAAAAATGATAAGCTATAACTTTTACAATGTTCATTAGTATTAAAATTTGTAACTAACGAATGCAGTTTTTTAGCACAGTCCTTGTACTTTTTTTTTTCTGTGGTTATTCTCCAGCATTATACTGTTCTCGTTTTAATTATTATAAATTTTGAATTTTCTTTATTTCATCAATAAATATCCATGTAGTAGGGTGGATTCCTCCTAAAGAATATTTATTATATCATTAAAAATACTTATTATTAATAAAATAAGTTATAGTTTTATAAATTTTGAAACTTATCTAAGTACTATATTAAAACGTATAATATTCAAATTAGAAATTAGAAAAAAAAACTGCGATTTCGCTATTATCAATTCGCAATTTTTACATTCGTGGTTATTTATTTCGTTATTTTGGCATAGACCCTTATTATGTATATAATAGTATATAAAAACAAATTATTTGACCGCTACCCTACACAATACTATGCAGTTATCCTTGTCCTGATAATATGTGTTCCGACTTATGTGTACCATAAAAGAAGGAAAAAACATAACACAAGATCTATAGCCCAATGTCCTTCGTATGTGATTTTAAATGGTCTCGGGTAAATGCGAAACGCAGTACTGCACATCTTTTTCCATACATCGACAGTCAAAAACTACGTTTAGCAAACGATACCTAATACTAATTTAACGGTTTTGATTTCATTTTTCATTTTACGGTAATATAACCGTCGTAAACTCCGACGCGGTTGTTCCAACCTCTAATGTTTTTAATTAATTTGTTTTTTCAGTTTATTCATAATTTATTTATTGTAATAATCGAATAAAAAAGTTTTGTAATTATTGTAATCTGTTTTAATCTTATAATTTATTAATCCATCGATATACAGCTATTGCATGCTATATCTGACACACTAATTTTAACAACTATGACCTTGTATATTTGTGGTTTTTGTAACACAGAAAAACTTATAAATAATAATAATAAAAAGAAAATTAGACTACTTGAATACAAGTATAATCCCACCATAGTGACAAAATTCTTATCATATTTTTACGTATTTCTATTTTCATTTCTACTGGCTTTTGGAAGTTTTAAATAGTATTACTAATTCTTTAAAGATAACATATGACTGCACATTTTTATTTTTAGACCGTTTATATGAAATCAAAAATCAATTATTTTATTTACACTTGTATCACACTGAACCCTATTTTCAACTGAAAATCCAACCAAATGATAACTTAGTATGTCATTTGTGAGACATTTTTTTTTTTTAATTTACGAAACAAGCATTATAATAAAAACAAAATAATCATTTTATCGTGATTTTAAAAATGCATTTTTGCAATACACCACTTTATTTTAATTTTTTTTTTTTCGTAATAGTTTAAGTTAATATTGAATTTAAAATAATTATTATAATATATGCATAGTACTTTGAGTAAAGTATAATTCAATAATAATATTTAAAATTTGTATAAACTCTACTTTAATAGACATTTAACTTATTAATATAATATTCACTGTAAATATTTTAAGAAAAGACAGAGTGTTTAGCTATTAGGTACTACCAAAAATTCATCGAATAAGTAAATTACAAATGGTTTCATCAAAAATACTCATCAGTAACGCTACATATCTCCAATAACATTTCTCAGGCTATCCTATTTACACCTTTCGAAAGTGAATCTGCAAAACAACACTAAAAAACAATTTCACAAACAATACCATATCGACTTTAACTCTTTAATTCAAAAGTTATCCTCAAACTTCTTTCGAGGTAATTCTATAAGGAGATTTAAGCAAATATGGCCCAAAGATTTTTTAGTAGGTAAATAAGCTGGTGGTGTAATATACAGGCATGTAACTAGAACATTTTTATTAGGGGGTCAAAAAATTTAGGCCCTTATATCGTTTTCCAAGCCTGGGCAAGTTAATAATAATTTTAAACTGAGTTAAATTAAAAGTTATATGAAAATTTTCAAATAACTTATTAACTTAAATTGAGATATTATAATTTATTTAATTTTAATATACCTATATATATTTTTACCCAGTAATATGGTTTTAAATAATAAAAATCATAAATATTGTTGAATACCAGAAATAGCCAATAGCTTTTCTATACATAGAATTAGATTATTGAGTATTGATGAATATCATTATGTAATAGGTACCAAATATACAAAATACCGAATATAATCTTTTGATTTTTTAATATAATAGATAGGTATTATAATTTTTTTTTTTTTTAATTATTAAATAAAATAACATTAAAAATAATTCAATTTGTCCATTCACGCCGCGTTTTTCGTATTTATTGGATAATAGAAAAAATTTGAATACGCTCGATAGTCGCAGCAACGAGTTCATCGTGATTGCCTCATTAATGATAGCGATAACGAATAACAAGTGACGATTAATCGAGTTTCTACTGTATATCATAGTATAACATAAAATATATAATAATTAAAATCATAATAAATTGTTCAATCGAATATTTTTGGCAATGAATATACTTAATGAGCAAAAACTAAGCCCACCTAATCCCTCCCCCTTGCTACGTGCCTGATTATATAGTATATAAGTACATGATTATAAAATAAATTGTTTTTATTCCTTTCACAAAAAAAAAAAATAATAATAATAGTATATAATAAACATTATATTAAGACCATAAAAGTACTGTCACTGAATAAATTTCAATGCAAGCATTCATCCAAAATAATATAGTATTATTTATATAGATAGGAATTCTTTATAAATACTTATTATTATGTATAATATTGTTTGTATTTCTATAATAACTAATGCTAATTGTACCGTAGGTGTATAAATTGTATAATTTTCTAAATTAAAGAAAAATAATAAATAAATCGAATCATAAAAAATATCTCAGAAAAAATAATACACTGTTGCTAAATAATAAATAGTTATTTTTATATTCTTATTATATAAAAAATTTATCATAAAATTATGTCCATAAAATTCGAACTCTTATTCATATCTTAGAGCTAAAAACTAGACATCATGAGTATTAATAGTTTTTTTTTTTTGTTCTCTCGGACATAACTTTTCAATATTTAAATAAGATCAAGCACCAATGAATTTAAGAAATATTTAAATATCAGTTCTTAAAGCATTATTTCAAAAATTGTATGGTATCAGTTTTGTTAATTTTTATTTATTTATTTTTATTCCTTAAAACTTTTATTTATAATAAAATGATAAAGATTTTTTTGGGATTTCATAATTTTTGAAAAGAACAAATTTAATGTATTTTTAAATCAATTTTTAGCGTATTTTTGAATACGTTATTATATAAATCCTTGAAAACTAAGTTATAAATACGACATATAGATTAATTTTATTTTCTCAAGTAAAACACAGGTTGCACTTAACCATTTTGAAATGAGTTGTACTCTGTCAAAATGTTTGTAATGGCTTATAAGGTTCAGTAAAAGAAGATTAACGTAAAACCACGTTATTATCATTTTTCGTTTAATTTTAAGTCTTCAGCTTTAATACTAAAATTTATTACTACGATCATAATTTTACTGTACATCATTTGTCAAGCTGTTTATTAGTTTCGAAAAATGACACTCCATTTATTTTTTTTTTTTTTTACAATTTTGTTTGAATTTCTAATTTAAATTTATTTAATCGTGTTTTTCCACCCCATTTCAAACAACGATGAATGTTTAATTATAGTACATGTCTCGTGGGTAACTTAAAAAAAGAAATTCTGAAAATCAGTAAAATTAAGATTTATGCACCACGTATTCCAAACTCAAAATATCGTCTAAAATAATACCCATAAGAACGAATAAGTATATTTACTTAATTTCCAAACATTTATTATAAATTTTTTTTAAAATGCTACCATTATAAATCATAAAATCAACCAACAAATATGGGTTTCTTACCCAAGGGAAGAACGTTTGAAAGGCTATTGTCTTTTAGAAGTTATTTGTCTAAAAATTATGTTAAGCAAAAAACCACCATGATCACTCGTAATCATTTTTATACTAAAATAACTTGAAGAACCTTTTATTTCTGTTGCTATGGACTTGATAAAAAATAAATAGTTTGATTTTTACGTGTAATTTTTTTTAATAAACATGGATATGTATTTAACAACTTTTTTTTTTCTATCAAGCTCATTTTAATATTTTTAGAAATATCGGTTTTTCTATTTCATAATAGGCTAAGTGAAATCTCTCTTGTTTCAAGTGATTTATACTGTATCACTGATTATTTTTATCATACGTATATTTTAAAACGTCCGACTAATCTCATTTTTAAATATTTGTTTTATCAAAAGTTTTTTAATTACAAAGATAGATTATATGAAAAATATAACAATCGACTATTTTTGAATATTTAATAAAAATGGAAAATTACATTTACAATCTTAAAAATTCTGAAAACTTATTAACTCAACTAAAAAGTTTTAAGACTATGGTGGTAGTAGGCTATATTGTTGAATATTATAAATTTCATAAGTTATCGGTAGATAGTCGATACTAATTTAATATAAAATTTCCAATCTCTATTCCGTACATCAATGCCAGAGTTCATTAACAATACTTTAACAAACTAATCGTTTTATAAGGTTGGAATATTGTATTCTTCATAACACATATCGGCCACTCAGAAAATAATATTACGGTTTAATAATAAAATATTTCTTTTAAATACATATTCATATTGCATTCATTTGAATTCATTAAAATTTACTATTTCTGTGCAGTACTGTTTGGAAATTAATTTCAGTTTATATCAAATACACTTACGTAAGATACATGATATTTTTTGAAAAATGTATTATTATAATTTCGTTTGAAGTCATAAAATAGCAGATAACATTTTTTTCTATTAAAGCTTGATAATACGTTATTAATGTTGAAGTGGACTTACTGGCGTTTTTAAAATCATATTTAATACATAAAGTATTACACATTATTATCATTACAAACCAGAACTGGCAGTCAGCCATTACGATTATCCATCATATAAGTGTTACATCTGTAGTTATTTGTCAAACATTTGATTTAGTACTTTACCTGAGAATTTTAAAATAAATTCTAATAATTAAATTGAAAAATTCAATTTTCACTGAAACTATATTTAATTACTACCACAATAAATTAAATTCGAGTTATCCCTGAAATTAATTTTTTTCCGAGTTATCTATTGTAAACAATAAGTGTATCGATAGATTACGATTTAATTATAATGATTATAATTTTTTATTTATTTATTTGTTTTTTTATAGAAAAAATGTTATACTTTACTGCCCTATCTTTATTTAAAAGTTGTAGAGTTCAGACGAGCAAAGCATCGCATCAATATTCCCCTTTCGTCAAAAACTTTAAATGATGATGTAGGTTACTACTGGTTTAATTTTCCATTCGTATATTACGTACCGACATATTTTGCTCGTGATAATTTCGCTTCCACATATTATACATAATACAAATGACAATATTTATACAACTCGTGCTTTGACATATCTCTAGATCACGTACGAAGCGGTAGGTCCGGTGCAGATGAACTTCTTGCGACTGCTCAGCCAAAACGGATATCAAAACTTCACGTACACATGCATAAATAGCGCGGCCTGGTTCAACTCCAAGTCTAATTCGTACGACATGGCGGTCAAGTTTATGGGCGAGGATTCGGTTCAGTTCTCGTCAGAGCCGGGATCGCCGAAAGTGGACGTTCTGGTCGACGGATGTAAGGTACGTAACTGTATTTTGATAATTGTGTTCAGTCGCTGGTTGCGTCGTTGGACCGTGTTCATAATTAAAACGCGACAATAATTATAACACTGGTTTAGATATTGATTTTGTTTCCCGACTTTTTTTTACTTTGTTATATCTTATTAGAACGAGGTTGCATTAGACAAAAATAGTAAGTAGTGGAATCCTTATTTCCGTTCCTTAAGTACGCTGCGACAAATAACTCCTCAAGTTCTCATTTCGATGCGATTAAAAACAGTAATTTTTGGTAGGAATTATTTGTCATGGAAGTTTCAAAGTGTTGCAATCAAATAAAGGGTTTCGTTATCATAATTAATGTATAACACTGTTTAACGGAGATGATATAATAAGCTTGTTCAGTAGTTTTTTCGGATAATCGTACACCAACATAAATTAGATATTCTTTTATCTTACTTCAAGGCATTTATATGGATACATTAAATGCACGTTCACCAAGACCTATTGACGAATGTTATTTCCATTAAAATGATTAACTGATTCATGCCAATTTACTGATCAGCCAATAAAACTATCAGGCATATGCTCGACAGAAAAATTCAAAAGAAAAAAAGTGTTTAACGTAACCTCTAATATGAAACTGTACTCGGAAAATTAAAAAATAAATATCCAACGAATTACATTTCCATCGAAATACATACGATAGGTAAAATGGTCATGAAGTTAGCCCCCCCCACTTTGACCGATTCACTTCAGACCACCGCCAATATTTAGCAAATTAATTGCAAATAATTGCAAATTCATTTTTAGAATTTGCAAATCAAGTGCAAAGTCACAAATTAAAAAATAGGTTTTGGGGGGGCTAACTTCATTCAGCCCCCCCAATTTGTCCGATCCGTTCCAAACCAACGTCAATATTTAGCAAATTAATTGCAAATAATTGCAAATTCACTTTTAAAATTTGCAAATCAAAATTGTAATTTTGGCGAATTATTTTGCAAATTTTGTCAGCCCCCCCACTTTGACCGATTCACTTCAAACTACTGCCAATATTTAGCAAATTAATTGCAAATAATTGCAAATTCACTTTTAAAATTTGCAAATCAAAATTGTAATTTTGGTGAATTTTTTTGCAAATTTTGTCAGCCCCACTTTGTCCGATGTATTCCAAACCGACGTCAATATTTAGCAAATTAATTGCAAATGAATTTTTAGAATTTGCAAATCAAAATTATAGTGTAGGTAAAATTGTATTTGTATTATATATTGTTAAAATTCATATTAATTATTTTCATAAAAATTAAATTATAATGATCAAAAAGGTTTTTTAGAAATAATTAATTGAAATAATGTATCTATAAGAGTAATAAAACTATTTAATAATAATGATAAATAAATATACAATTAATGCATTTAACTGGAATTATGTTAAATTACTTACAAAACTGTCGAAGCAGTTGTTAATTTTTTATTGGATATATTTACCCTTTTTGGGACACTCACTATATTAAAAAGTGATAACGGACGAATAATGACGATAACAATAAACTAAAAGATTTATTAATTATTATCAATACCAAATTGCAGTATTCCACTTAGTTTTACGGTTTCCATTTTTAAAATTAATCTGCAGTGATATAATGATATTTAAACAAATTTAACAAATTTAAACATTTAACAATCAAATAGTCAAATAGACCAAGTCATGTTCTTCTGGAGATAAAAAAATAAATGAAAATATTTTGAATGATATAAAATAAAAATGTACAATAATTAAAAATAGCCCGATGTAAAATTATGTAAAAATATATACAAAATTATTAATGCTATATATTGTTGTGTAGAATTAAGTATAGTTCACAATTATTATTTTAAACAAAATAACGAATTAATATAAATTAACTGTAAACTCCAGTTATCGACGTTAAATAATTGCATAACAATTGAATCGAAATAATTTTCGAATGTTGTAGTGATAAAAATAGCATCTATTGTTGAAGACGATCCGATAAAGCATGATGGTTTAGGAAATGGCCAACACCTATCTGCTGATCGACAAGGCGACGTCGGCACATTGCACAATACATTGATGAACCATGAGCCAATGAGCCATGATTATATTATTATGGACCAGAATTATATACAACTAAAAAGTATTTAAATCCTATGGTGCAAATATAATGCGTAATAAAATTACAAAATATGCAACAATATTATATGCATAAACAAATTTAAAATGTGCAGCAGGATAGGCTTTTATTTAATTTTATATTTGATAAATAATAATATTAAGGTAATTAATCAGTATTTATAAATATATTAGATAATAAAGCAGATCTAACTAAAGATCTGACCCACGTTACTATTTTATTTTTTTAATAGAAATTAGATATAAAAAATAATAGAAATATTATTTTCGATTACAGACAATTTGTAAATGACAATCTAATCTTTAAAATTAATAAATCATTTTCAAATAATATGCAATATATAATTTGGTCAATGATATAAGTTTGATTTGAACCGAATATTTTAATTCCAGACTCTAGCTATGAAAAATACGAAATGTATACAAGTAATGAGAACGAAAATGTATATCTGCATAAATTCATAAAAACATAAAATAGGTTTCCAACTATGAAAACTCAATTTTTAATAATTACAATTATTGTATGATGATATTTTGAAGTCGATCGGACAAAGTAGGGGGAGGGGGCTGACAAAATTCGCAAAATAATTCGCCAAAATTACAATTTTGATTTGCAAATTTTAAAAATGAATTTGCAATTATTTGCAATTAATTTGCTAAATATTGGCGGTGATCTGAAGTGAATCGATCAAAGTGGGGGGGGCTAACTTCATGGCCATATAGGTAAATCTGTACCATAGTCTCGTATTCTCGATCTTTATAGTACGTGGTCTAGATAAAACCATTTTTTTTTCGCAATATCCACACACTCGACTAAGGACCAAGCGAAATAAAAATATTTTCCAGAATTTCAATAATCCTTCCGGCACTTCAAATCACATTTTTTCTTCATTATTATTCGTATCATTACCCGTCCGCTCTTTAGTACGCACTTAATCCACTTGTTAGTCGGTCGCTAACATTTTTGTTAATTTCCTATCCGCCGGATCACGTATGCAAACCAAGCATTATTTGTCTTTTGATTAAAACGTGTTTTTCTTATCGTTTTAACTCCATTAAAAAATCTACCATTTTATTTATAATATCCAAGAACCGTCGATAATAAGTTCTGTAACGTTCCATAGTTAATCTTATTGTTATTAAAATAATGATTGCTATTTGACACTCAACTTAATTAATTTTGTTACACGTTCAAACTTGCACGTAAAACTGTAAGTTTAACACCGGACACCTAGTAAAATACAGATGTTTAAGTGTCCCTTTACGGGATGTAACAGTTTGGGATTTTCAATCAAATACAAATATTAATAACTCACGTGTATGGTTTTTGTATATATATATATATATTATACATCGTTATTTATACGTGTTCCTGCAATGTTAATCGCTTTATAAACTGAATTTTTTTTAAAAAATATTTATTAAAATTTAGGTCCATATTTGTGTGTCCTGTAATGTCTAAAACGACTTCGGACTTCAACAATATAACTTTATAAAACGAAGTGTGAGTCTTTTCATATGTACCGTATTGAACGCGCGTATAAATTAAAATAGTTTATTCGATCAAGTTGTATTAATATTATTATTATTATTATTATTATTATTATTAGTAATATTATTTATTATATAATATTTTAAATTTATTTTCTGAGAATTCTGACCACAATATGATTGTATACCGATTATTTTCATTGCTTTATGTAAATAACTGAGAATTGATTTATCATTCCCGTAAATTAATATACCATCACCATATCTATTGAGGTTATGACTTTTTTATTATATTTTCAATAGTTTTCATCCAATAACTCTGTTGTAAATTGTCCGTGTATTATAGTATTACGGCATCAAATGTTATCAAGAAATAAAAATTGTAATATTTTTACTATTGTTTCATTGTTGTATCAAAATTCTTAATGTCTTATTTCTAAGTACCAGTTACATGTTAATTTGTAATGGCATTTTATAGCAACTTTCATAAATAAATGATTATATTTTCTTAATAATTACTGTTATACTGTTATACACAATTTTTGGAACATAGATCAAGTTTTCAACCAGAATTTAAATACATTTCAAATTGAATAGTTCTAAGCTTAATTCGTGTGGTTGATACTATTTGAAAAGTAATAGTTTCATTGGGATTCATAATTATTCAATCACAAACAAATAGAAAATATAATATTTAAATATAATTTCAGCAATGGTTAACTAATTCAAAGGAAAAATCTAGGATAAACGATTCTTCAATAGTTTATGATTTAATTTTGAGGTGTATAAGCTCGTTAAACCGAATACGAATATTGTTGTAACTTGTATACCTACATTGCCTTTTGGGAAATTATATTTATAAATAAACGAATTACACAAATATTGAAAATACACAGAAAATACAATAAATACGTATTTTAAGTAATTTAAATATTATATTAAAATCAAAATCATCGAAGGCTCGAAATGGTTTATGATTAAATTTGCATTTAATAAGCACGAAATTACTTTTCATTAGTTATTCATCTATAATTTTTCATTATTTACATTATCACTGGTGATGATTGCAGATTGATATTTGAACTGTTAAATGTCAATAAAACGTTTTATTTTCTTTAAAATTATCATACTGTTATAATTGATTGAATATTATGCTCTAGCATAATTTTGCTAAGTCAATTTGTTTAACAGATAGGAATTTCGTAATTTGTGGAATTTCGCACGTTGAGTATAAATTAAAGTTTTAAATTTTTCTGCTATTCTTTAGCTATATAGATATACGTTATTTAATTATAGTTAATTAATAAACTACGGTTCTATGAAAAAATATATAAAATATGTTTAATCTTTATTAATTGTACAATGTACTTATACGTAGATTTTTGGCACCCCGAAAAATATGACTAATATATATAAATGTTTCGATATTTAAATATGATGATGCCAAGGCTGTCAAAATATATATAATATATATATATTTATTATATATTATTATATTATATTTATTATATATATATTATATATGTATACCTAATATATAAAAATTTTATCAGATTATATACGAGTATTTAATACTGAACAAAAATCTAAAGTAAATAATTGTTAAACAACAAAAATAAATCATACCATCTATTATTATCCGTCGTTTTCCTTTTTTTTAAAAATTGTCAAAAACTTGTATTTGTAATTTGAGGTAATAATTCAAGTGATGGATCTGTCGTCCTTCTTGATCTTGTTATGTGAACTTTGAATACTTATGATTGTGTGAGAAAAAACTCAATTTAATAATTCCATGTACTTAATTTTTTTTTTACTTCCAGACAAGAAAATCGAAAAGTGAAACCGTATTCGAAATTCGAACCAACAAGTTGAACAGTCTACCCCTCACAGACTTCTACCCAGTCGACTATGGGTTGCCACACCAAGCGTTTGGTTTTGAAGTAGGACCCGTGTGTTTCAAATGACACCCTCGTTCGCGATAATCGATTTTATGTGTTCAAACTATTATTATTATGATATTTTCTTTTTTATGCTTGATTTATATTATTAATATTATTGTGTATTTAGTTTTATCGTACGATGAACATTTCAATACTCTCTATAAAAAAATATATACTTGTTTTATTTTATTTATTTTTTTATGTGCTTTTGAGTAATAAACAAATATAATAATATATTATATTATATTATAATCTACAATTGCCGCCTAGACTCATTAATAAATGAACTCTTGAAGCATGTTTTATTACGTGCTTATAACATGAAATAACGGCTATCGTAAACCGTGAAACGTTTTGTTGACACTGTTTTGAGACATATTTAGGAGGTACAAAAGGGACGGGGTTCAGTTGGTTATACTGTATGGGTGGAACATTTTTCTATAGATATAGTGTTGAATAGTCGAGGGAATGAATAACAAAAATTGACTTAATTTCGGTTTATGGTACCGAAGTCTCCTAATACGCGTCTACATTTTGAAAACGTGCAATAATTGTAAGACTGTTTTCTTATTTTTATTATTATTTATTTATTATTATATTTACTATCTATTATTTATCTGTTTAAAAATTCAAATAATAATATAATCAAAATAATTGCGAATGATCTGAGACATGCTCAGGAATTTTGAACGGTTAAAGAAGGTTAAAGTGGAAGGATTAAAACGTTATTCATTATTCATGTAAAAATCAATATCAAAATGTGATATATTTTATAAAATATACATATACGAGTATAATATTTGTTAAATTTAGCTCTTAAATTAAAATTGTTTTAAAAGATTAAATTTGAAGGTTTCTTAGTTAATCAGGTGAGATATGTTATTTTTACCTTAGATTCTTTATCGGTTATGTTTTCAAGTAGTTTTTAAATAATAGAAACAATAGCTTCAGCTTGATGAAATGCTTATTTGAAGTCGAGGTCAACTTTTTCCGAAAGTTTACGCAAAGTAAAACGATATGATAATAACTATTTATGAAAGAGAAATGTTTTAAATTTTAGTTGAAAATAATAGTTAAATTGGAATACAAATATATAATGATAATTATTAATATTTACATACTCTGATTTACAATTACAGAATATTATAATTACTAATATGTAATTCTACAGCAATACATTATGATGTACTTTTCACTTAATATGAGATCAGAGATATCTTATCTAATAAACTATATTGCGATGACGCGGTAGCCGATGTAAAACAAGGTTTATAGATAAAATATAAACTTTGGGTATAAATTAGTGTTTAGGCGTGTTATCATTCGAGGTTATAATTAAAATCAAATCTGTATACCTAAGTATATCTATATTGTTAATCATGATAGTGACAAAACTAAAAAAAAAAAGTGTTTAGGAAATGTCTTGGTAAATGTCATATCCTCATTTGATATAAGAATGGAGGAAATATAGTTTTAAGTAATACCAATAAATAGTTATAACAGAAAACTATGGGGGTTTGAGGGAATTGAACCCCCTAAACTTTATCCGCTTGATCAAGCCTATGCAAATGACGTTTGGGCCATCGCAAACGTTTGTTTTCTGTATTTATAGTGGTACAATGTTTCCTTTTTGATTGGCTGTTAATTAATAATAATCACATTTAATTAACACTTACTTTAAATGATTTTAAAAAATATAATATTAATAATTAATGTTGTTACTCCTGATTTTTTTTTTTTTTTTAACTAGGAACTTATTCTGTTAGTCTGATAATTACAATCATTAATAGCTCGTAATACTAGCTTGATTTAATTCGTTTCACTTCCTTCATTAAAGGTTATTTTGTAATATAATTTATATACGAACAAACTTTTATTAAAATACGAAAAACTAATTAAACAGTATATATGACTTGAGGTATCACCATTGTTCAGTTCAAGTTTCACTAATTTCAAACAAACGGACTCACCACCCCGGTGTCATAAAACTATTCACGTTGATGTGTTATACGTTGTATTATGTAAATTACTAAACGTTTCTCTGATGCGTAAAATATGTCATGAATACGAGTTAGACTCCTTGCCACGATGACTAATGTGCAAACCGAAACTATTTCTAATATCGGGGATCAAGCGTTAGCTTATCGACCGAAAACCATTAGTCGTACAGTTCGATATACACAACTATAGCATTAAATCACCGCCGAAATGTATGCTAGGCGCAACGAAGCATATGGAAACACTATTACGAGTATACTACGATAATATTCAGATACCACAATTTTCCATCATTATAGTTATTATTACAATCATCAACAATTGTTCGATGCTCAAATATCTAATGCACGTCTATTGCTACGGATATACTATATTAGATTACATTTAATTGTTGGACTAAATATAGCTCTGTATTACTGTGCGTTTATAAATCTACTCAAATTTCAATATTTATATATTAATATATCAATATTATATAAATATAATTTGTATGTATAATCTAAAAAGACTAAAACGTATTTTTCAGGAGGTTTTTGTTAAAAACGTTGCTCTAAAAAAAAAAAAAAAAATAATGAAAAGATTGGTTGGTATTGTACTTTACATTACAATTTTGCAAATAACCTCGCTGATTATCAGCTACTTTAGCTACTAATATAATTTTCATAAAATATTTATTTATTTTCTATCTTATAATAGATTTACGAAATATATTTATTTTTCATTCCGAATTTTAACAAATACATAAAAAACATCACTCCCGCTAAAACCTATTATACAAGATTTTTATTCCTAAGAAAAAAAATCTAAATCATTTGTATTTGATTTAAAAAAAAAAAAAAAATTCTATCATATAATTTAATGTTTCAAGTTCACAGACATATAAAAGTAAATATTGTTTATGGAATATTTAATATTGTAATACATTTTCGTGAATGAAGAAACCAAAAATGGGAGAAAAAACTTCTAATTACTTTAAAATTTCAAATAATTCCGTATAATTTCATACTTAAACATGAAAATTGAAGTTTTGCATTTTTATAAAAAAAAGATTATATATAATAAAATAAATAAAAATAAAATATGCAAGACTTATATTGTTTTATACGAGTGAGATTAGTCAACTAGCAGAGTGGTCTTAAAAATGCGCTGATCGGAAGAAAAAACTTTATAATATAGTTTTAGAAAGCGATGGGTTCGAGGAAAATACTTACAAAGTGTGGTCAAAACTTACTAAGCTCGGAAAAGTTTAGTTTACATACGGAATATTTTCAACTTTCCTTTAAACCTCATCACAATTACAAGAGCGAAACAAAACAATTATTAATCCCTCAGACTACTATACATATAGACAACAATCGAAGTGTACTTGTCGAATGAATTGATTTTTCACTGTCAACAAAAATAAATTATATATACAGTCAACTCGTGGTATAACGATGTTCTATGTAACAAAAATCTCGATATAACGTATAAAACTGTCGGACCCTTGAAAACCTCATGATATAACGAAAAATTAAATGTATTTTGGTCCTCTCGATATTACAAAGATTTTTTGACTAAAGTTCATGCAATGTAACGAATTTTTACAATTTTGGAGATTGAAACTGCACATTTTACGAGTTTGATTCGGCCATTCTTATGCGATAGGATAATGTTCATGTATCGTTTATATGATACACGTCTCTTAAATGTAAATTTTATTAAATATAAATAAAAATTTGTTGCTACCGACAAAGGTTTGGTCATCTGTGGAGTTCTCAATGACGATGTGATTTTGAATAAAGCTGATGACGAAGAGCCCCCGTAAGCTCGAATGAAGCAAAATTAGGTCTTCGCGCCGTCTTAAGTTTTTTACAAAAACATGATATTGACGACAGTGTATTTTGTAATATTCTAAATTTGGACATCAATATTAATCGCGTAAGAGCAAATAGATACACACAAAAAAAAATAACCTATTTTTTAAAAAAATAAATAAGTATGTATGCAATAAACAAAAAATGTATGGATGTATCTAATAAAATATTTAATAATAATCTAATATTTTTTGTAGGTATGTAATTATAAAAATCTAATAAAATCTAAATTTTCTTTTAAATATCGTTTAAACAAATTTTGTTGATTTATGCTTTTGATATAATAAATTTCGATGTAATGAACTTTCGATATAACGAACTTTTTGCTTGGTCCCTTGAAATTCGTTATATCACGAGTTGACTGTATATACATATACATATATATATATATATATATATATATGATAACTTTTCAACGGAGAAAAAATAGTGAAATTACATTGATAAGTATTTAAAAGACCCATATTCGGAGTGGAGTGGCAGGGAAATTCGGTGCCCCTTAAGCTTTTATTACTTATTCGTTATTAATTATTAACAATATCGAAATGTTCAAAACATTTTCCTATTTCCGAAACTATTAATAAATTAAATTAAATAAATAAACGAGATGGTAATTTTATTACTTTTTTGATATATTTCAAAATATATAGCACTTACCATAAAATGAACGTCCACCATATCAATGTCAATGAAAAATGATTTGTTAATACATTTATTCGTGTACTCATCAAACGCTGTTGTCCTAAACGAGTATAATTTTATGAGGAACATCAGGCCCGGCTCAAGTGTTTAAACAAACATAGTCGAAATTTAGTATTTGCCACTCCTTACGTGTAAATATTTTATCAAATATTTTTTTTTATACATAAAAATTGTCCAGGAAAATGCCACCCTAGGAATGGACCTATGTCGACTACCCCTTGAGCCGGGCCTGAGGAACATTTTAAGTCATATCAATATACGTTTCATTTTATTCATTTTTTTGGTAAGTACTTTAAAGAAAAATGATGAAACTTAGCACGCAGTATCCACAGCCGAAGTAATTTGCTTATATGGCAAGATGTCTCAACGGTGCCGTAGGCAACCGCGCTCTTGGAATAATTTTGTAGGGTGACTGACTTTAATGAGGATACCACTGAAAGAGTATGTATGGTACGTATAGAACACATGTATTGTATATGCATATCTGCTTTTGCCGAAACATGTATGTATAAGGCGTGAAACTTTCAGCATCACTTTCGTTCCAACGGGACAATAACCATTATAATATTATAACCATCTTTCGAGTTGATAAATCTACAGATCCAACACTCGACGGATTTATTACCTCGCTAC